TTACCCTCTATTAATCTCTACCTGTAACATATATGTACCATGGCAGTTTGCTTTTGTCAGTACCTTGCTCAGGTAGGTTTTAGGATAGCTGTGTATGCTTTTTCTCATCCAGTCTACTTTCAGGCACTCTATACTGTATTGTTCACCTACATCTCATATATATCCACCCATTACTAAGTCTTATTCCTCTTTTTAAAAAATCCTTCTCCCCTTCTCCATTACCTCTTAATTAAAACTGTCTACAAATTTATTACTAAAATTTGTAGGTTCTACCAGTTTCTAGCCTTCTCTTCCCAGTGAATTTTCTGTTTGGGTTTTTCTTTCAAAGCCAATCTCATACATGCTCCTATCCTCAACTCCCATCCCCCACATAATCTTAGTCACTAAAATCCAAGTACACACCACACTGCCCTTTGTCATTTATCCTCTAACTTATTAAAGTCAAGAAAGCTCAACTGGTAGTGTCTGGCTAATACAATACTGTGTTTGTTCTTGCGGTTAACATCCCACACTTGATCTTCTGAACCAAGGAGCATTTTAGGAACTGTGCACTCCAACTCTGCCATATCAAAGTCCCATTTGAGTATTGCAAATGCTTCAACTGAAAGGATACATCTGAATATAGAAAAGGCCAAGCAACAAAATAAGCCCAGATGCATAAACCCTAATGAAGAAATACATGGACAGCCAAGGCAATGGAAATCCTGCAGAACTTTTAACTTGATCCTATTGCAATGGCATCCAGTTAATGTGAGTTAGATGAAATCCCAGATAGAGAACCCAAAAGAAATCAAAGAATAATGTGAGCACCTGGTTAAGAAAACACAGACCTGAATGAAATAAGGATGGTGATACAAACTATGAAAGGAAATTCAACAGAGACAGAAATACTGAAAAAAAAAACTTGAAGAGCTAGAAATGAAAACCACAGCAAGTCAAATAAAAAGCATCATGGAAACTCTGACTACAGAAGATCAAGGAGAGGACACAACATCTGAACTTGACAAGGGGGAGCTGGAGTGGTCCAGCAAGGACACAGATCACACAATAATAAGGTATGGAATTCTAAGACATACATGACACTGAAAATACCAAATACAGGTAACAGCCATGTAGGTAGAAAAGAATCTCACTCTCCAAGGTAGAAATAATTTTCTAAAGAACCCATAACATATTTCTTAGAGTTAGTAAAGATGCCTAACCAGATGGAGGAAGAAGCACCTAGGACACCAAGCAACAAGACCAGAAAAGAACTTCCCTCAGCATGTTAGAACCAAACCACCTAATAAACAGAACCAAGAAAACATATTGAAAGTGGCTCAGGAAAAAGTCCAAGTCACATACAAAGGCAGACACATTAGAATGAAAGTAGACTTGTCAATTGAAACGTAAAGCCCTGGAAGGGCCTTGAAGGGTGTGTTTCAAGTTCAGGAAGACAACAATGGCCAACCCAGACTAGAACCTAGCTCTACCCAGCAAAGCTACACAATAGAATTGAAGGAGAAAACAAAACAAAACAAAACAAAAAAACAACTTCCCATGGAAAAATAGGCTAAAGGAATTTACGGCCAGCTCTACAGAAAATACTTATCCTAGAAGGAATTACCTGGATTGAAGAGAAATGCAAATCTATCCACAATGCCAGAACATAGAATAAGCCATGTTAGAATGATTCTTAAGCTAGACAGGAAAAGGGAAGAACCAAACACCACAAAATCAACAAAATGGCCGGAATCGGGAATCAATTCACACTTTCAGTAGTTGCTTTGAATGTCACTGGTCTTAATTCCTCAAAGCCACAGACTAGTGGGTTGGGCCAAACAACAGGAACCATCTATTTTCCACCTGCAAGAAATGCACCTTCCCACAAAAGACAGCCACAGGAGGGAAACGGATGTTTTAAGGCTATTCTAAGCAAATTCACTCTGAAACAAGCAGTTGTTGCTGTTCTAATATTTGACAAAACAGACTTCAAACATTGTGAGAAAAAATATTCTTCACACTGATTATGGGCACTGGGCCAAGAGGACATCACCGTTCTAAACATGAAGGCCCAGCCATGGATAAAAAAATACTAAAGTGAACTCTTCTCAAGGGAAGTGTTTACTGATAAGTTAATTAGTTTTCCTGTTTCAGGTGGGGAAACCGAGGCACCCAGAAGGTAAATGGTTGCTCAGAGTTTCGGGGAGGGGCCGGTGGTGGCACCCACCTTTGATCCCAACATTTGACGGGCAGAGGCAGCAGATCTCTGTGAGTTTGAGGCCAGCCTGGCCTACAGAGTGAGTGCCAGGACAGGCTCCAAAGCTACAGAGGAAAACCTTATCTCAAAAAAACCAAAATAAATAAATAATAAAAAGAATACAAAATGGTTGCTAGGGCCACACACAGCACCTTACAGAAATGGGATGTAAACCCAGTTGAAACAGCCTGGATCCAGCCAGCGTAAGTCTAGCTTAAACCACTGATGTGAGGACAAGAACTTAGTGTGCTGGCATACTGCTATCCTCAGAACCCACAGCAGCCTCTGGCTCCCAGTAGGTATTTCATAAAGATTTTTTGACAAAACGGGTGAATTCAGCATGGTACCTGGTTGGTGCTTTTATATCATACTTGATACAATACTGGAAAAAAAAGTATGCCTTTCTATGTGATGAATTCATTACTCTGAGATAGAAATTAGCTACAGGAATGCATTTCTTAATATGTACAACCGATGAAAGATACAAACTCTGTGACGTTTATGTTTTTGTTTTTAGATATTGTTAATTACAGATGCAAATGCTTTCTGAAAAAACTATTCTGCTGTAAAGAAAACAAAAACAAAACCCCCAAAGACAAGTTAAAATTGCATTGCCCTTAGTGAATACTGTATCAAGCCTGACAGGCTCCCTCCAATGCAACTTCACTGTTCTGATTGTCTCACTACTGAGTTGAATACTTTGCTACATGTTAACTTGCTGTTTAGTTAGATTTTTAAGGACTTGAAAATCTCACTTATTTAAGCATTTTTGTTCAAAGAATTTCCTGCCCCAATTGAGAGTAGTTTATTAACTTATAATTTGTCTTTTTTTAGTTTTAATAACTTTAATAAGCGATCATGTGTGTATGATGTATATGGCAGGCACATGTCACAGGTCACGTGACTGCTCTGATGAGTTGATCTCATCTCTCACCTTGTTGAAGCAGGCCTTCTCTTGTGTCAGCTGCTGGTCTGTGTACTGCAGGCTGACTGACTTGTGGGATTCCAGGTGGCTTTCTGTTTCTGCCTCCCATCTTATCTTAGAAGTGTGGGATTACAAGTACACACCACCAAAGCAGGCTTTTATTTGAGATCTAAGGATACAGTTCTGGGTAGGCAGGTTTGCAGGGCTACTGCTCTGACCCAGTAAGCGCCCCCAATTGGTAGGGATATGAAAATCCAGAATATAAGGCCAAGTGAATATAAACTTACTGTTAGTGTTATAATTTTTAAAAGTGGCACTCAAGAGAAAGATGCCATTTGACAGAGCTTGGGTAGAGGGGTTTTTCGTTGGGGGAAAGTGAATGGGGAAATGGGGGAGGGGAGAGGGGAGACCAGACTCTGGGGACAGGAGTGTAAGAAGATAGGAGGGGAGGAGAAAGGAGGGAGACAGGAAAGGTGGGTAGAGAGAGACGGGGAGAGGGGGAGAGAGATGGGAGGTGGGCAGAGCCCTTTTAAAAGGGAACATAGTGAATGTGCACAGGCGGTGCTCTTAGTGGCTGCAGCTGAGGGTGTATCCTGTCAGAACCCCAAGTGCAAGCCAGTGCAGATGCCTGAATGCTAACAGCCTCCCACACCTACCAACTAGACACTAGAAAAAGACACCATGGACCACAAGGCAGACTTGATTGTGACTGTGACATCTTTCTGGAAACGTTCCAGAAATTTATTTAAATTAAAAGAATTTGATAGCATAACCAGAAAAGCTTATAGATGGCTATGAGAAGCAATATCCCCCAAAGAAAACAAACAAAAAGTTCGAGTCTGCTCAAGTCTTACTATAAACATACATGGATTATCAAGGGCAAGCCTCCTTTGGCAGCTCCTGTGGGAGGGGTTTGGGGGTCTGAAATGTTTATTTTTAAAAGAATAACAAAAAGGAATGCATTAAAACTGTTTAGTTCAAAAACTCCCCTCCCCTTCAAAATTCTTGCTACTTTCCTAATGAGAATATCAGCGAATGGCAGAGTAAGATTTCTGGGCGCTGGGATGGAGGCATGCCCTGCCCGCGCACTCCACGGCAACTACAATTCCTCTCTTCACCACTGCGCTGACTAACGTTAGACATGCTGTGGGCATTTTGGCCTTTACAAAGAGCACTTTGCAGTCTGTCGGAGTCTGGAGATGGGAATCGGGACCTGTGATATCTAGATCTGCAACTTTGGCAACCAGGACAGTTAAATGGGGAGGTTTTTTTGTTGTTGTTGTTGTTTTTTGTTTTTGTTTGTTTGTTTGTTTGTTTTTCCCCTGGGACAACGTCCAGAAGAGAATTCAAAGGTGGCAGCGAACCCGGGTTCTAGCATTTCTTGCTACCTAACTACTTTGGAGCATACTTTGCCCATAGTTAAACACTGAACTAGGCTGCATTTTCTAGGGGTTAGACGAACTAACCTTGAGCACAGGAATATGTGCTCAAGACAGAACGGCTGAATTGAGAGCAGCTAACTAGTCCTGGGACATTTTGGTAGTCCCCAAGATGCCCAGGAGGCAAAAGCAGAGAAATCCCGGTTCCCTGGCTTGATTTCCCTGCCTGTGCCTAGGACGCACCAGGCAGCCCGGGACTCTCGCTCCGCCCCCACTTTTGAGCTGGGGCGGGGCCTCCATCTCCCAGGCAACGGGACGCGATGCAGTCCTGGCCACCACTTCACCTGCGTGTCTAAAGCTGCGCGCACAGCCGCGGGCGCCAGCTCTGGGACCTCAGAGGACCTCCGTGGTGTACGACTCTGAGAATCCTCGCCAGCACTCCCCTCGCAGTTACGAGATGGCAGCCCAGGAAGAAGGGACTGTGCTGAGTCTGAGTCCCTCGGAGCAGGAGGACGAGGAGGACGAGGAGGCGGCGGCGGCACGGAGAGCGCAGCGTTTCATCCTGGACCCTCGTGTGCGCTTCCTGGGCGGCCGCCTGCGCCAGGCTCTGGCGCTCCCAGAGGAGACGTGGAGCCAGTACCTGGAGAGCGAAGACCACCGGCAGACCCTTGGGGACTTTCTGGAGAGCACAGGTCCGGCCAGCCTGGTGTTCAGTGTCGCAGATGCAGGGCGGCTCTCGGCTTCCCTCGAGGTAAGGAGAGGGACGCCCTGCTTCAAGGCTCAAACTTATAGTTTGCTTCTGGGACTCCGCAGAGGTCCTTGTCCCCGTGTACACCAGCTGGGATCTGAATAAGAGGGTGTAGGTTTGTTTTCTAGAAGGGGTGCCTGCTTGTAGAGTTAGTTGCATAAAACGACAACACAAACAAACAAAACACCCAGCACAACCTGTGATGTCTAGATGTATGGTGCTAGGTGTACTTTTGGGTCGAAAATCTTCTGTTTCAGTGCTGATGGGAACTTCAGAATCATGTCCTTTTAAAAAACGACAGCAAAGTGCTTGGCAAAGCCCTTATAGCTTGAATATTTTGTCTCGGTATCTGCTAACTACCTTTTGTCCTAGGAAGAAATAACTGAGTTCTAAAAATAAAACAAACCTACAGGCTGGCCAGGCTTTGACGCATTCCGTTAATCCTGACACTCAGGAACCAGAAGCAGGAGGATCTCTGTGAGTTCGTGGGTGGCCAGCCTGGGCTACATAGCTAGCTAGTTCCAGGACATCCAGGGCTACACCCAGAGACTCTGTCAAAAAACATAAATAAATAAATAAATAAATAAATAAATAAATAAATCCCCAAACAAAAACATAAACCAAAAAGTCAACAGCAACCAAACAAAACTAGCTGGGGTCGTTTAAAACTCAGAACAAACATCTTTGTAACATAAAATAATTATTAGTAATTTCAGGGAACATTATCCTGGTAATTAAATTGTAAATTCTTCTTTAGGAGATGTATTTCATTTTATTTTTACAGATGGTTTAAGTTATTAGCATGTGGGTGCAGGGAAACAAACATCTTCATCTCTCTACTTTCCAAATGTAAATTCTTGCTTTCCAAGTAAAGTAACCCCCATACTTATTTGTATAGGAAGAATGCTCTGTAAAGTTACATATAAATACAACTCCTAAAATTGTGTGCAGTTGAATGATTCTCTGATGTGGTTTTTCTTTAGGTTTCAGTTCCATGATGTAGTAATGTTATAAAACAAAATGTTCGGGGAGGAGTAGTGTATAATCCTCACAGGCTTGGTGCTTAACCGGCATCGTCTTTCCTCTGTTTTCTTTTTCCTTCTGAATTTGGAGCCCTTGCCCAGCGGGTTATCTTCCGGCAGAGCTGCACCTGGGGTTCGTGTTGTACAGTGGTAACATCCCAGGAGTGGTCATCAGGATATGTATGAAGAGCATTAGTATATAACAGGAAGGTTGCACTATGGCTTTGTGAGTTTTGAGTATCTTTGTTTTGGTATTCTCCTAATTATAACTTTGTAAAAAAAATTTTGTCATACAAATCAATAAACCTCAAGCACATAGCACAGAAGCTAAATAGTGTAATATTTACTAAAAATGACTTAACAGTTATAGGAATATTAAACTATCTTGGCTAAACACTTCCTGTTCTTTGACTTGACAACAGAAATACAAATTAACCCCTTTGTGACTTGTCATTATCTCAGTTTGGCTTATTTCCAAACAAGAGTACATTATGAAAAAAACCCCACTAGAGATTAAAATGTCCTCATGTTTGGTTTTGCTTATGAGAGTCTTAAGTTGTATGCTGATCTGCTGTAATGGACATGTGTCTGAAGGTGATATTTTTAAAAAGGAGAGAATCCTCTTTTTCTAGGACACAGAAGAGCAACAGACCAACCTTGTTGTAAACATGGGGGAGATGCCAGGGTTTTGCTTCTGTTGGCAGTGCCTACAAGTGGGATACAGCAAATCCTGCTCATTAACAAAGAGACCATAGTGAACTTGAACTAATTATCTTCTTGCTCTTGTTCCAGATTCCAAGAGGTGTGAAACACAAGCTGGTTTACCTTGCCAGGAAGACTGAAAACGGGAGAGAAAGTGATTTCTCCCGAGCAATCTTATTTGGAGAACTACCTTGGTCATTGCTCACATATGTAACTGCCTTCCTAGATGAGGTACTGATCCGTCTTTACCATCTGAGTTTTTTCTTTACCTCCAGACACCTGGCATTAACTGAATCATCTCTGCATAGTTAAAAAGACCAGCCAGCATATAGAAGTCTCAGCTTTTTTTTTTTTTTTTTTTTTTGGCCAGGTGATCACATTTAGCTTGTTTCTCAGCTACATTCAGTTAATAATAAACTAATACAGAATAGGCTGTTACTCTTCAGACTGCTCCTCCTTTTCACTCTTCCCTGACCCCTTTCAAAACTCTGGAAGCATTTACCTGCCAACTTGAACTGACTAGGTTCTGCCAGTTAGCTATAGGTTTAAGGTATTGCATTCAGGGTAGAGATGAGCTTACATTTTGGAAAGTTGGTATCATCCTTTTCTTTCTTTCTTTCTTTCTTTCTTTCTTTCTTTCTTTCTTTCTTTCTTTCTTTCTTTTCTTTTGTTTTTTATAATCCCTGTTAAAAAGTAGCCACTAAATGGAGTTTCACTTATGTCAGAGAATGGAAAGCAGTAATGAAGTTAGTAACTGCTCACAAATTCCCTTCTCCCTGTGCTGTAAGTTGAGCCTGGCGGTATTAAAGACTTGGTCTTCAGCATTGGGAGGTGTGGCTTTTAAGAGATGGAGGGCTCCCTCTGTATGTGGGGGGCAGTTGTGAAGCTTGACTAGCTGAGGGGCCCCTGGCTGTAGTACCACAATACAAACCTGGCGCATGAGCTAGCTTGTAGTTCTTGCCATTTGCTTCTGTTGCTTCACTGGCTATAGGTCTTAAGTGTGTTTGTTCTTACTTTTCCATCTCCTGGAACATACTTGATATTTGCTATCTTTGTATATAGTATTGTATCAAGCCTAAATCTTTTTCTTTACACTAAAAGGGGAATTGTAATGAGATATCCACTCCATGGGTACCTGTAGCACTGACAATGCCCATTTGGGTGTGGTCACAGGTGTGAGCATGACGGAGAGTAGGACTAGATCAGGGGTCCCTGACCCCAGCGCTCTCTTGCTACTGGTTGGGTCACAGAGGGCAGCCTGGTTAGATCCTTGGAGCTGGAACTGGTGGCCCACACCCACTTCTTGTGTAAGTGCATTCTCCAGAATAAACTGAACCTGTACTGAGTCTAGTGAATATTGATCCCCACACAATACTAACTTGTTGGAGCCCACTCCCCATGGTGGGATGCCATGCTCAGTCTTAATGTCACATCTTGTTTTGGCAATTTCAGTGGTCATTTTCCTGTGGGTCCTTCATGTCCACTTTGGACAGCATGCTATCTTCAGGCTGCCCAGGTCTCTGCCCCAGGTTCTAGTGCTGTGCTTAGGTCCTACCACCCCTGGTTACAGCCAGATGTAGGAAAGGTTTTTGTAGATGGAGTTTCTGTTCCACCAGGTTCCAAAGCCCTTTATCCCCAAATAAACCACACAGAGACTTATGTTAATTATAAACTATTTGATAGATGGCTCAGGCTTCTTACTGGCTAGCTGTCTCTTAATTATTAACCCATAATTATTAATCTATGTATTTCTACATGGCTTCATCTTACTGGAGAATGCCTGGCATCCTATCTTCCTGATAGCTACATGGCGTCTCTGTCGAGACTCACTCTCTGAGTTCCTCTTCCCAGCATTCTCCTAGTCTGGTAGCCCCACCTATACTTCCTGCCTGGTTACTGGCCAATCAGCATTTTATTAAACCAATAAGAGAAACATATATTCACAGCATACAGAAGGACATCCTCATCAGGTTTTCTATGCTTGCCTATTGGAATGGTTTTTGCCATGAAGCAGGCACTCAAGTATTTACTGCACGGAGTCTTCTGTAAGACTCAGCAATGATTGAAACAACTTGTGATTTGAGTTTCCCTGCCTGTAGATGAGGCTTGGCAGGGCCAGGTGGGACTTGATGGGGTTTTAACTCTATAAGCTGTGCTTTGCAAAAGACAATAGAAAACCCCAAAACTTACTCTCCCAATATTTCTCTGAATTGGTCTCATGCCAGGATCCCCAAAGCTTTTGCAATATGCTTTGAATGTAAATGAGTACATCCATAGATGTCATAAGCCACACCAAGTATTGTGGTTAATTTTTATTGAAATATATTAATTATAGTTAACTGGGTTTCATTGGGACCTTTTCTATATGCATATAATAGACTCTGATGCTACTCACCCTCCATTAACCCTTCTTCCTTACCTGCTTTATACATCTCAAAAATCTCCCCTCTGCTTTCATGCCCTTTGTGTTTTTGTCCACTTTTTGATCTAAACACAGTTTGAGTTTAATGTTGGGAACGGTCTGAGCATTGGGCAGGGGAAAAAAAAAAAAGCAAGGACATCACAACTGTGGTGTAATTTTCATTCCCTTACAAACAAGGCTATGAAATGAGCCAGAAGGTATAGAGCTAGAGGGCAAACATCACAAGGGTTGGCATGGCTGAGTGCACACATGCGGTGGCTCACAGTGTCCTGCTAGTGACCCCTCAGCTCTCTTCAGCCAGGTTCTCTATTCTTGGCTACTGAGAGAGAGAGAGAGAGAGAGAGAGAGAGAGAGAGAGAGAGAGAGAGCTACATGCCCTCCTAGAATTTCTATTGGCTGTGTAGTTGACATTTCAAGCTCAAGTTGAACTTCTGACCTTCCTGGACATATTCCTTCTGGCCTTATAGTTATCCTCATATTAATAGATGTGTATTTTGGGGTGTCTAGAGTTACCTGAAAGGAGAGAACCTCCAATTAAGAAAATGCCTCCATTAGATCCACTGGGCTGTAGGTTTTGATGATTCTACACATTTTGTAGAAAGGAGTTCCAAAAAGGTCCCTGTGGTTGGATGAACATTTCTCTACTATGGGAAGTCACCTAGCTGGAGAATACTTGCTCTCTACCAGCCTCCAAGTGATTCAGAAAGATTGCTTCTATCAGCACAGCTGCCAACATGCTCAACTTGAGTTAAGAAACTTTACTCAAAACAGATTCACTGATATCCTGCAGTATTTGAGTTATTGAGCTACAATGAATGCTTGGTGATTGGATAAAGGGAAGGCAGTAAATCCTTTCCACTTTACAAGAGCCCATAACTCAGTGGTTCAGTGTCAATCGGCTACTGACTTGGTCCACTCCTTATAGTTTTGGCATCAAAATTATTTGGGTGGTTTTGTTGATGAGAGATTTTATACAACAACAACAAAAAAGTCTTCGAAGGTACTCACTTGTCTGCTAATTAACTGCTTCTAAAATGTTGCTCTTTCTCTAGATATTAGTCCCTATTCTTTCTAATAAGAACAACCATAAATCCTGGTCATGTTTTATTTCACAAGATATGGAACATCACCTAGAAGTCATGAAAAATAAGATGCATGTTTTTAGGGGCAAACTGTCAAGAAGAACTCTTCTACCAGTTCCCACAATTGCAGAAAATATTGACCTAGATCAGCATTACTCGGTGACCAGGTGAGTAAGAGTATATATAGCTCAATACAGTAGATTAAAATGAGTGGCAGCCAGGCGTTGGTGTCACATGCCTTTAATACTAGCACTTGGGTGGCAGAGGCAGGCAGATCTCTGTGAGTTTGAGGCCAGCCTGGTCTACAGAGCAAGTGCTAGGATAGGCTCCAAAGCTACACAAAGTATTTTTGGTCTCGAAAAACCAAAAAATAAATAAAATAAAATAAAGTAAAATAAAATAAAATGAGTGGCTAGCATCCCCACCGAACATTCTACCTCTTATGCTATTAGCAAAATAGAGTTACTTTAAAACATGTGATTTTAAAATGTGTTTTATTTTCTTTAAGGTATTTGTTTGTTTGTTTTGAAATGGGGTCTCATGCAGCCCAGGTTGGCCTCGAACTTACTATGTAGCCACGGGTAACCTTTAACTTCTGATTCCCCTGTATCCATTGTCCACATGCTAGGATTGCAGGCATCAATCACTGCATCTGGGTTTTGTGCATCCTGGGCCAGCACTCTGTCCCCTGAGGCACACCTCAGCCTATGAGTAACTTTCTAAGGAAAACAAGCAATTGTCATAATCTCAAATATTCCTCTGGGGAAAATGGTGTTTAAGAAATGGTAATTCTTTATCAGCCTTACTATTAGTTATTATTTTATTTTAAATTATGTATATTGTGTATACTTATGGTGCCTGAAGTTACAGGTGGTTATGAACCAACTGACATGGTTGCTTGGAATCAGACTCAGGTTTTCAGGGAGAGCAGCAAGCATTTGTAACCACAGAGCAATCTCCCCAGCCCCCATTTATCAGGTTTTTTTTTTATATATTTTTTTCATTTATCAGTTTTTTAATATAGTAATTTTATTCTTGGAGAATTTCATACAATGTATTTTTATCATACCCACTTCTATTCTTCCCACTAACTCCTTTCTCTTCCTGTCTCCTCTCCCAAATTCTGGTCCTTGATTCTTTTTTTTTTAAGTAACCCATTGAGTCCAGACATGCTACCAATATATATACTCATGGGGTAGGGGCCATCCATGGGAGGCTTGTCAACCTACCAGAAGCCACACCCTTAAAAACTGACTCAGCCTTCCCCAGAGGCCATCACCTGTCAATAGACCTCACTTAGGAATGGGAGCCTCTGAGCGCCTCTCCACTCTATGCTACACTGTTGCCTGGTTTGTTTGTTTTGATACAATTTTTAAATTTAAATTAGAAACAATCTTGTTTTACCTGTCAATCCCAGTTCCTTCTCCTCCTCCTCTCCTGTCTCCCACAGACCCCCTATCTCATCCCCTTTCTGCTCCCCAGGGACGGTGAGGCCTTCCATGGGGATCTTCAAAGTCTGTCATATCATTTGGAGCAGGGCCTAGGCCCTCCCCCATGTGTCTAGGCTGAAAGAGTATCCCTCTGTGTAATGGGCTCTCAAAGTCCATTTGTACTCTAGGGATAAATACTGATCCATTACCAGAGGTCCCATAGACTACCCAGTCCTCCTAACTGACACCCACGTTCAGGGGGTCTGGGTCAGTTCTATGCTGGTTTCCCAGCTATCAGTTTGGAGTCCACAAGCTCCCCCTTGTTCAGGTCAGCTGTTTCTGTGGGTTTCTCCAGCCTGGTCTTAACACCTTTGCTCATCACTCCTCCTTTTCTGCAACTGGATTCCAGGAGTTTGGCTCAGTGTTTAGCTGTGGGTGTCTGCTTCTGGTTTGATGAAGGCTCTAGGATGGCATATCAGGTAGTCATCCATCTCATTATTAGGGGAAGGGCATTTAAGGTGGCCTCTCCACTATTGCTTAGATTGTTAGTTGGGGTCATCCTTGTAGATCTCTGGACATTTCCCTAGTGCCAGATTTCTCTTAAGACCTATAATGGCTCCCTCTATTATGGTACATCTTTTCTTGCTCTCCTGTATCCCCCCAACTCAATCTTCCTGCTCCCTCATGTCCTCTTCTCCCTTCCTCTTCACCCCTCTCTTTCTCCTAACTCCCTCTCACATCCCCCCCCCAATGCTCTCAACTTGCTCAGGAGATCTTGTCCCTTTCCCCTTCTCTGGGAGACCATGTATATCTCTTTTAGGGTTCTCCTTACTTCCTAGCTTCTCTGGTTGTGTGGATTGTAGAATTTGCCTCTACGTCTAATATTCATATATGAGTAAGTACATACCATGTTTGTATTTTTGTGACTGGGTTACCTCACTCAGAATGGTTTCTTCTAGTTCCATCCATTTGCCTGCGAATTTCAAGATTCCATTGTTTTTTTTCCCACTGAGTAGTACTCCATTGTGTAAATGTACCACATTTTCTCTATCCATTCTTCAGTTGAGGGGCATCTAGGTTGCTTCCAGGTTCTGGCTATTACAAATAATGCTGCTATGAACATGGTTGAACAGATGTCCTTGTTGTATGAATGTGCTTCTTTTGGGTATATGCCTAGGAGTGGAATTGCTGGATCTTGTGGTAGACTGTTCCCATTTTCCTTAGGAGCAGCCATACTGATTTCCGAAGTGGCTGTACAAGTTGGCACTCCCACCAGCAGTGGAGGAGTGTTCCTCTTTCTCCACATCCTCTCCAGCATAAACTGTCATTGGTGTTTTTGATTTTAGTCATTCTAACAGGAGCAAGTTGGTATCTCAAAGTTGTTTTGATTTGCATTTCCCTGATGGCTAAGGATGTAGTGCACTTTAAGTGTCTTTCAGCCATTTTAGATTCCTCTGTTGAGAATTGGGCAGGTCTTGTGTAGGCATCCATGGCTTCTGTGATTTCATGAGTGCACTGGTCCTGTCAAGTCCAGAAGGCACTGTTTTGTTCTGTTCCTCCCCAGCCTCTGGCTCATATAGTCTTTCTGCCTTCTCTCTTGTAGTGGCCCCTAAACCTTGGGGGAAGAGGGATAACAATGCCCCATTTGCAGGAACTCCGATGATGCTTTTTCTCTGAACTTCGTCATGTTTCTTAGCATTAGAGATGTATATGGAATACAATGATGCCAAACTCAAACCAGGACTGTGAAAATTATGCATTTTAAAGGATTTATATTGAGAAAACTAGTTTATATATACATTAAAATAACTATTAGTTCTATATCCTGTCTTTATTTGGGTAAAGTCACTGTTGGATGCTTTTGTTAATCATACAACATTTATAGGCTACAATCAGATGAGAGGAGAATACTACATGCCATTGAATCGATAGTCATTAAATGGTCGCATCAGATCCAAGAAATTATACAAAAGGACTCAGCACAGCCTCTGCTGAGTGGCCTCCACCCGACTCCTGAGACAGAGCTGGACTTCTGGACTGTGAGGCATGAAAACCTGACATGCATATATGGTCAAGTGAGTAGGTAGTGCTGGAATTTTTTCTAAATCAAATGAGCAGAGTTAACTCTGGGATAGGCATCATTGCTTGGCCATTTAAAAAGTCTAATGATCTTTGTATGACCTGGGAGACTGCACTTTTCTTACTCTACAGTGCTGTCTACAGGAAGTATGTTTTTTAAGTTAATGGGGGTGGAAATTGATTGCTTTTCTAATAATGTGCCCAGATTATGAACCCCAAATCACCAAGAGACCCATTCTGATGCAAAAGCAAAGAGTCTTTTATTGTTGTTTAACGAGCTAACTAAGGCCCCTCCTCCGTTCATCACTGTGGATAGAGGGAGATTAACTGAGAGGTGGGGAACTTTTTGGGCAGTGTAAGGGGAGTGTCTAGGGGTATGCAATAGTTTCAGGATTGGTGTGCTTCCGGGCTTGGGTGACCTGTCCTGTGTTGATTGGTCAACTGGTTGTTATGGCCTACAGACCATCCCAGGGCAGTTACTATGCTCTTTACGTCACTGTTACAATAAAGCACATCCCAGAGCTGGCCAGCTAAATTCTGATTGGTTCTTGCCACCAGGAGGGTGTCTGACCTCTGTCATGGCTGCTAACGCAGGGGACTGGGTGAGGGTCTGATACCTTCACTAAGGATATTTTGGTAGCATCTGAGATCATTGGAAATAAGATTTAACAGGAGAAGGAGCAGTTCAATGAAGGGAAAGGTTGGAAATGGCAAGTTTAATTGCTGTTTTAGTTTGGATTTGTATTGTGATAATACCATGACTAAAAACAACTTGGGAGAGAAAAGAGTTTATTGATTCTTGGAGTTTGTAGTCCATCCAGGGATGTCATGGCAGAAACCCAAGACAGGGACTGAAGACAGGAGCTGATGCAGAAGCCATCAAGGGGTGCTGCTGACTGGCTTGCTCTCCACAGCTTGCACAGTCTGATTTTTTTTAATAGCACCTAGGTCCACTAGCCCAGGGATGGCACCACCTTCATTGAGCTTGGCCCTCCTCCATCAATCACTAATTAAGAAAAGTCATTACAAACTTGCTTATAGGCAAATCTTATGGAGGCATTTTCTCAGTTGAGAGTATCTCTTTCCAAGTGACTCTAGATCAGTGGTTCGCAACCTGTGAGTTGTGTGACCCCTTAGGAGTTGAATGGCCCTTCCACAGGAGTCACATACTATGACTCATAACAGTAGAAAAATTATAGTTATGAAGTAGCAGTGAAAATAATTCTATGGTTGGGTGGGTCACCTCAGCATGAGAAGCTGTATGCATTAAAGGTTCCACAGCGTTAGAAGGTTGAGAATCAATTGTCTAGACCGTGCCAAGCTGACACACAACTAGCAAGCACAGTTACTGTGGTCAGTTTGCTTTGGGGGAGGAGTAGGATATTGCTTGGCTTCAGAGAACTAACTTTGTTCTCTTTGTTGGGTGCTTCCTGCCAACTGACTGACTATAATATTCTAAACACTGTTGTGTTCATTTATGTGCCTCTTGTTTGGAGGTTTTCTGGAACAAACCATTAGTAATTTATATGTATCATCTGAAAACCCACTTTTTTTTTTCTGGAAAACTTTTTAAACTTATTTTCATCTTGAAACAAATGTGTCCCTGAGTCTCAAATACTGTTCATACCACCATTAGGATGGTTTAGCAGTCAAAGGCACTTGGTGCTGACCCTGACATCCTGAATTTGATCCCAGTGCCCACAAGAGAGGTGACACCAGCAATTTGACCTCTGACCTCCACACATGCCTACGTATCCACACCCAGCATAAAAAAAAATAAATGTAATAGAAAATATTGTGCCTATTGTGTGAGTGGAATGTAGTGTAAATATTTAATTAGAGAATAGATTTATTTAGTAATTTGGCCTGCATATTTATTCAAGTGTTTCCCCCACTTTAGCTTCAGGCTCCTATTGTCCTCAAGATGGTTAAGATACTGACAGCAAGACAAAGCAGCTACTTTCCTACTCTGAATGTTATCTTCACCACTGTGGAAAATGGTAAGATCCTCTAGATCCTCACCCCTGTCCCTGGCCTCAGTGTAGCCATCTGCCTATGGTCCACACTCTTACTCCCACCCATTTGCCTACTCAGCTTTGAAGTTTGCCTGCCACTCAGAATGTGGCCATGGAGTGTGTGCACTTGGTTCTTCTAAAGGCGGCTTTGTCTACATCTCTCTACTTAATTTTCTAGCAGTCCCAAACCCTTTTTAGTTCATCTGCTATGTACCCACCCAGTAACCCCAGGGAGAAGTGATGGGGGTTGTCCTTCTGTACATATGTTTCTCTTATTGGTTAATGAATAAAACACTGATTGGCTGATTGGCCAGGCATGAAGTATAGACAGGGCTAGGAGATGAGGAGAATTCTGGGAAATGTGGGCAGATGGAGTTGTCATGGAGAGTCTGGAAAGAGAGGACTCATGAGGTATTCTCTGGTAAGCCAAGACCACTCAGAAATACATAGATTAATAGAAATGGGTTAATTAAGACAGAGCTAGCCAATAAGAAGCCCGAGCCACTGGCCAACAGTTTTATAATTAGTATAAGTCTTGTGTGTGTTTATTTGGGGAACTCAAGGGTGGCGGGAACCTGCTGGGCCAAGAATCTCTTCTTACAGAGAAGGTTTAGCTGGAAGGTGTATAAGGGAGGTGAAGACTTTCCCTCCTTATCTGGTGTCTGTGAAAGTCCTTAGTAGAGGTTTCCAGACAGCACCTGGGCTGTGTGTAGTCTAGGGATCCACCACTCAGAATCTTCCATAGGTTGATTTCTGATTTCTTGGCTGACAACCGTCTAGCCACTGTGGATGTTTGGTAAAGATTAGATCCACAGAACAGAGAAATTGTAAGAGGGTGTCTAGCTAAAAATCTCTTCTCATGTTTGTCCTCAGTATTCTCTTAGTCTCTTCCAAAGATGACAGTCCTCCCCACTTTCCTAATTTGTTCATTTGTTTGTCAATATTTAAGCAAATACAGCACTGAAAGATGCATCTTATAATCAAAGCTAAACAAATAACTGTTTTTGCATTTTGCTTTTTCCCAACATTAGAACACGTTTACTTTCCTGTGTGCCATTTGGAAGTAGTTAAAATTCACTTTGAAATGTCCATTTTTACATTTGCCTCCAATAATTGTATTTAGAAAGATGGGGATGGGTGGTCAGTGTCTCATTAGATCTGGATTCCCAGATCTTGAAGCTCATTAGCCATTTGGAAGTGGCTAGGATTCTGGTTTCCCAATGGCCAAATTATCGTCTCTGAACCTCCACTGCAGACTTGCTATGGGGCATAGGGCAGGGTTTCTCACTGTAGTCCTGGTTCAGGCTAGATGGTTCTTTGTTCTGACAGGCCAGCCAGCTATCTGTTAATAGCACCCTTCATTGCTGCTCACTGTCCCCATCCCAACTGTGACAAACGTAAGTGTCTCTTGGACACCCCCAAATGGCTCCCGGAGGCAAACTCTCCTCTCAGAACCACTGAACGGAGCTTTCACTTACATCCCAGGTAGCACTAATCACCTTGTATTATACCCTCAATAAATTGAAACAAGTAGCATTTTTCTTCTGTTAATATAAGATAAACATTTTAGGTGAACATAAATATAAGAATGAGTCCTAAGATCTTTAGAACATTGTGAGCATACAACCTAGAGATTTCAGAAAAAAAAAAATTCTCAGTGGCTCTTAGCACATGGGAAGACTACTTAACTGTGGTATGGTTGTTTAATTTCTAAATTATATTCAGTAAGTATACACCTATCTCAGTACGCTCATGCACATGAGAGAAGAAACAGCCCAGAACACTGTCTCTTTTCAAGACTTTATTACTGGGTGGAAGGCTGAGTTGGTTATTTATCAAATCTAGCAGTAGTGTGAGAGACAAAAGCCAACAGAATTTTCTTGTTTGCCTTTGACATGAATCCTTGGGAATAGCCACCAAAAAGAAAAGCTTAGCTTTGTTCTTCACTCTTATTTATTTATATTTATTTTGGTTTTTTGAGACAGGGTTTCTATGTGTAGCTTTCAAGCCTGTCCTGGCACTCGCTCTGTAGACTAGGCTGGCCTGGAACTCAGAGTTCCACCTGCCTCTGCCTCCCGAGTGCTGGGATCAAGGGCATGCGCCACCATTGCCTGCTTGTTCTTCACCTTTAAGTACAACCCACAACCAGCTTTGGGTGAGAAACAGTTTCAGGATCGAAGTGAGAATCTTTCCTTACTCCTAAAGGCTTAACATGGTTTATGTCTGAATAAAAGTCCCTATAAAATTAGTCTTCACATAGTGTGAGTTTTGTGACATTCAGATCAGTCGTGGTATTGTATTATCATGCCTCCTACCTGGTTCCAAACTTCTTTCATCACTATGCCTAATGATTTATCCAGATCTTGGTAAACAATGTAGTAGAAGGTTCTCTATTTGTTGCACTAATTACACATAGGAAACCAAGATGAGGTGGTGGCGTTGTGCCTGTCCTGAGCCTGTCTAGCTTGGCATCCTAGTTGTTGAGGGAACGACCACACAGATGCTTTGTCCCACAAGGTCTCTGTGGGATTGTAAAGCTCTCTTTAGACTTGGAGGTTCCCTTCCCTGTGGGTCTTCAGCCACAATTACTCATGGTCTGTGAGCAACTAGACCAGCGCTCTCCAGGGAGGCTGAGTTACAAATGGGCAGTCTCTAGCCCTCCAGACTGCTCACATGTAGACTTTAGGATAAATAACAGAATGGGAAAGCGGACAGCATTTCTGACTGCCTTGGTTAACAGTTGTTTTGGACTTATAAAGTGTTTTTGAATTAAAAAACCCACTATGTGACATGGATGCTGCTTCCCTTTTTCAGCTCTTCTTGAAGCCCAGGATGTGGAACTTCACCTGAGCCCTCTGAGGAGGCACATTCACGGTCTCCAGGAGGCGGAGTTCCCGCAGACCCGAATACTAATTGCCCCGTTGTTCCACACCATCTGTCTTATCTGGAGTCATTCCAAGTTTTATAACACCCCAGCTCGCATTATAGTTTTACTACAAGAATTCTGTAACCTCTTCATTGACCAGGTATGAAGCACTGACAATTAAGGACAATAACAATCATTGCCTTCATTAACCCAATAATAATGAACAAATCCAATAATGGGCAAATCCAGATGACAGTGAGAATGCCATTTCCCTTCCATTTTCAGACATGACTTGTGTCCTAGAAATGGCCTAGAAATCATCTTATATGGTAGGCAGCCAGTTCTTGAAATAAGTCAGCATCAAGGAACAAATTTTTTCCCAGTTTTGTTTATTTATAAACAGATTTAAAAGGCAAAGAGGTTAAACAAATTTAAGGTAGCTTCCAGCAAAAGGCTGGTGGTCATTCTTTGTTACTTTGTAGTTTCTTTAAGTTTCTATAGGCTGATGGGAGAAAGAAAAAAAAAAAAAGATTACTCAAAACCAATTATCCTTGAAAAACTGTAATGGGATTATATGTAAAGAATTCTGATTTATTGTTTTAAAATTTGCTTGTTTGTATACTCCTTGCTCAGCTTGGGAACTGTCTTTTTGAAAATGATTGGACTACCCTCCCCACCCACACCTCCACTGCCCAGCACCTTTGAGTGTGAACTTTTTTCCTTACATCTACAAACACCTGTGAACAATGCTTAATAAGCATTCAGAGATGCTTGGACACCATATAGTCCAGTTATTCATTTTTTTTTTAAATGACCCTCTGAGAACATTTTTTAGATTTATTTTGTGCAGTGTTCTATCTGTATGTATGCCTGTGGCCAGAAGAGGGCACCAGATTTCATTACTGATGGTTTGTGAGCCATCATGTGGTTGCTAGGAATTGAACTCAGGACCTCTGGAAGAGCAGCCAGTGCTCTTAACCACTGAGCCATCTCTCCAGGCCTGGTCTAGTCATTCTTAGTTGGGAGTGGTCATAGTTGTCTGGGGCTGCCATACCTAGATGTCCCAGGATGACAAGAAACACCAATAGCTTTTCTCACAGTACTACTCTGCAGCAGGGGAGGTCAGGGTCAAATTCTGGCAAGGAAGCTCTTTGCTTTGTAGGCAGCCAGCCTCTCCTTGTAAAGCCACGCTCCTGTTGGATTAAAAGTCTGATGTCTCACAGAGAAACCCTGTCTTGAAAAAAACAACCAACCAAACAAACAAACAAAAGAAGCCTGATGTCTGGAAAACAAAGACAGGAAAAACAGTACCGTATAGCCCAGGCTGGCCCTGAACTTGCTGTGTAGATAGATGAGAATGGTCTTCTTAAGCTCCCCATTCTGCTTAACTCTCCTGAGTGTTGATATTACACCCAGCTGGAGTCCACTCTTTTAATGTCATTTAACCTTAGTTACATGCTAAAACCCCTGAGTCCATGTAGAGTCTTCAAGGTTGGGGATGACAGCAGATTCCACAGATGTGTGAACTCTAGAGCTCCTAGACAGTGGTTCTCAGCCTTCCTAATGCTGCCACCCTTTAGCACAGTCCTAGTGTTGTGACACCACCAACCATGAAATTATTTTGTTGCTACTTCTTAACTTCAATTTTGCTACTGTTGTGAATCATAATATAAATATCTGATATGCAACCCCTGTGACAGGGTCATTCCACCCACAGTTGAGAACCAATGTTTTCTAGAGCATGCCATTGACTTGTTAATTGCGCCCCCTCCTGTCTGCTTCTGCAGCAATATATGGGAGGGTTTGGGGCACACACCAACTGGACTCTAACCCACCCACTTAAAGGAAGTTGAATACTATTTGGAACCGCAGTTCCCCCGTTTAATGGTATCACAAGGGTTGGAAGAGATAGTGTGGTGTCTGGTATTTAACAGAAGCTCAGTAAGAGGAAAATCCTTGTTCTCTACCAGATTATGGACTGGCTGTGGCTATTGATGGGGGACCGATAGCAACGAGTAGGTTCCTGGCTATGTTTTATCAGCATCTCCTCTGGTTTTATTCTGTTTCTGTCCTTTGAGAGCCGAACTCAGTCTTGCTCTGTGGGTAAGCAGGTACCTGCTACCAGCCGCTTGCTTCTCCAAAGCAGCGTGTGGCACGTTTAGCTAGTACTCCTCCCTGACCCCCTTTAAAGGGTCTCTCTTTGAGAAATACCAAAACCAGTTTACTGCAAAGCTTTGTCATCTATGGCTTAGGAGATAGTTCTGGTTATCTTGAAGCTTAGCAAGCTATTATCTTGGTTCCCAGTCTGTGTCAACAGCCGGGGATGCCAGGCTCCTGAGGAAACATTGTAGCTTCTCTTGTTACTTAGTTCTGGTCTTTGATCAAAGGCTCCATTGAGCTGATTTCCATGATTCTCCAAGTAGCTTATCAACTTTGTAGTAAGCATGCCCCAACATGTAAGGATTCTAAAATCACCAGAGAGCCAACTCTGGTATTGGATTCTCTAAAGATCAAATTACCCCTTCTTTTCCCACTGTTTTCTTTACTTTCTCTTCTTCTTCTTCCTCCTCCTCCTTCCTCTTTTTGTTTTTGATATAGAAACTTGCTATGTACAAGCTTGTCCACAACAGTCTAGGTAGCCTAGGTAAGCCTTGAGCTTATGATCCTCCTGTTTCTGCTTCCTGAGTTCTGGGATCACAGGGTATACAATCCCTGCCAGGACTTGAAACAAAACAAAACAGGGTCAATCTGTGTACCTCTGGCTAGCCTGGGACTCAGAGAGATCCACCCACCTCTGTCTCCTGAGTGCTGAGATTAAGGGCATCCACTATCATGCCCTGACTGAATACTTATTTGTTTATAGTTTATTTGTGTGTGTGTGATCTGTGTGTCAGTGGCCATTCCACCATGTCCATGTGGAAGTCAGAAAATGTTATGGGAGTTGGTTCTTTTCTCCCACCATGTGGGTCTATGGAATTGAACTCAGGTCATCAGGCTTAGCAGCAGGTGCCTTTACCTGCTGAGCTATTTTGCCAGTCCTGCATATAGTACTGTTTAATTAAAAAGATCAGTGCTGATACTTAGGTTGTATAGATTTCATTTCAGTTTCAGTCTCCAGCCTACACTGAAAACCCAAAGATCTTGTCACACTGTCTTTGCTATCCCCACTGGCACAGTTGGTTGCTGGAATCCCCGGCCCCTCTGTAGGTGGGTTAGGAGCTGTCCAGCTGTCCATTGTCTGCTGTTCCCATCTGCTGCATTTGTTAACAGTGGGTTCTACTTTAGTAGCAAGTATGTTTTTACTTGTCTTACAGTGACCATTACCATCATTCTTTAGACCAGTCCCATGACAAAACATCACCTGCTTGCTGGAATGGTAGCATACACAAACTCTGGTAATAGGGTCTTCTCTTGATGCCTGGCCGCATTTCTTTATTAACCTGACACTACTGTGTTGTCATTGTGCATTAGCACTTGTCTGGTAATACTTACCTTGTCCATGCTGTGATTTCTCTCTTATAGATGTTGTCATCTACATATTCTAGGTAAAGAAGGCTAGGCTTTGGATGGCTTGTCATAGGCAAAGGGTGTGTTAATAGCAAAATTATGCCTATAAAAGTATATAAAAAAGAGTTGAAAGATAGTAGCTGGGAGATAGAAGCAAGGTGGCATATTGATAAACTGGCCACTCAACAATTAATTGGCTTGTGGATAATAAACTTATTGGCAGTGTAGTTGTCCTTCAGTATCTGGGGGAATAAGCTCAAATCACCAGGCTTACCAGCAAGTGACTTTACCTGCTGAGTCATCTCACTGGCTGTATATAGTGCATTTTAATTAAAAACACAATCAAAACAGTATGGATACTAACATTGTAGGACCTACTATAGCCACCAAGCCCAACATAAATATCTAGTATTTGCATGTAACCTGTGCATGTCATCCCATGTGCTTTAAATCATCTCCAAATTGCTTTCAATGCCCCATAGTGCAATACAAATGAGATGTAAATAGTTGCTCTGATGTATTGCTCAGAGAATGGTGATATAATAAAAGAGCCCCTATATGCTCAGATGGGTTTTTAAAAATGCATGTGATCCATGGTTTTGAATAAGAAACCTGTAGATATGCAAAACGGATGCTCTCAAGGGTCCCCTAAGTCATATCCCTCATTTTGCAGATAAGACAATCAACCAATTAGGCAACTTAGCCGATGACACAAAAGTAATTAGCAGCTCCTAGCTTGATCATGAATGTGTGCCCCAATTTCTGCCATGCTCTTTCCCTGACATTCTTGGCTGCCCGGTGTAAGGAGACGGACTGAGGGTTGTTGTCTGGGATGTTAAGGGCCAGTGACTTGTCTCAGGTGGTATTGCATGGATAGAAAGCTAATTGGCTGTGATGGACTCAGCTCCATGAGAGCCAGCCAGGAAGCATAGGAGTGAATCCGGGGAAGACTTGTTACTTTATATGCAGGCAATTAGGTTGAGAGGAGGTGGCTGCAACAGGAAAGCAACTGGATTATCTCCCTAGACTTCTCAGCTTCCAAAATGTTACAGAATGCATGTAGAAGAAGATATATAGAGTGTACAATATACCACAGCAAAAAGCAACTGTCTTGAAACTCAGACCATGAAAGGGATATTCACAGTTACCTGTGAAGTGTCAGCAGCTGTCATGTGGCCATTAATTGTGTGCCTAACCTGAGTGGGAAATAAGCATGTAGATAGGAAACAATAGCTAGTAGTACTTGTAGAGTTAGAATCAGTAGGGATAAAGATAAACACACAAACGGTTTTCTTTGCAAATGGCACAAAGTCTATGTTGGGTGTACAGCTTCTGCATTTAGTCATACATCTTCATGAGAGAAGCAGAAAACTTCCCGTGTAATGTGGCTTTCATACCAGTGCTCTCTGAGGGGTGGGGCCTTCGGGGGGGGGGGGGGGGGGTTCCAGACAGGGTTTCTCTATATAGCTTTGAAGCCTATCCTGGAACTCAACTCTGTAGACCAGGCTGGCCCCAAGCTCACAGAGATCCATCTACCTCTGCCTCCCAAATGCTGCAATTAAAGGTATGCACCACTACTGCCCAGCTATGGGTCACTTTCTAAGCAGCCACAAAATGACACTATTTTTTTTCTTATTGCTACATACATGAACACATTTTGTTTTGACCACTCCTCACTGTCCCCTCCCAACTCCCCCCAGGTCCCTCTTCCCATATCCTACATTCACCTGACATCTTCATGTCATATGTGTATGAAATCTACCGAGTCCCGTTGGTGCTGTCTGCATACACAGGTGTATAGGACTGCCCACTGTGGTGTATGCCAGTAGCCCCATCCCTAAATAAAGCTGACTTTCTCTTTCCTGGCAGCCATCCCTGCCTGAAGCTTAACTAGGAATGGGACCTTGTGAAACCCCCCCATCCATGCTGTGATATTTACTAAATTAGCCTTGTACAGGTTTTGTATAGCATCCAAAGTTGTTGAGCGCTCATAAGCTCAGCTGCCTGTATTGTTCAGAAGATACTGTTTTCAGCTGTCATCCATAACCTCTGGCTTTTAGAATCAATCTGTCCCTTTTCTAATGATACTCCAGGAGCCTTGTGGGGGAGAAATGTGGTGTGTGTGTGTGTGTGTGTGTGTGTGTGTGTGTGTGTGTGTGTGTACACATACATACATACATACATACATACATACATACATACATACACTTAGTTATGGTGTATATTGCTGTGAAGAGACACAATGGTCACACCAACTCTTATAAAGGAAAACATTTAATTGAAGTGGTGGCTTACAGTTTCAGAGGTTTAGTCTGGCATCACTATGGTGGGGAGCATGGGTCATGCAAGCAGACTTGGTGCTGGCTTCATCTTGATCAGAAGGCAACAGGAAATGGCCTGTGACACTGGGTGCTATCTTGAGTACAGGAAACCTCAAAGCTCGCTCCTACAGAGATGCACTTCCTCCAATAAGGGCACACCTACTCCAACAAAGCCACACATCCTAATAGTGGCACTCCCTACGAGTTTGTGGGATGAGCACACCATAGTCATTTACTCTCTGCCCTTCCATTTTTTACAGTTGTCCATACTAAATTCTGTCTCCTGTAAAAGAAGCTTCTGATATGGGGTGACCACTGCACTAATGTGAGGGTCTGGATGAGTATTTAGAAAGCTGCTTGATGCTACATATCAGTCTAGCAGAACGTTAGGAATTTCTGCTGCAGGGTCTATGACCTCTGTAGCCACAGGTTCTCAGGCAAGGTTATGGTACCAGGTATGCGTTCCCTCCAGGTGAACAGGCCTTAAATCTGATCAGATAGCTGTTGGTCATCCTTAAAGATGTTTGTGTCACTGTTGCTCCAATGGGCATTTCTTGCTGTGTGAGTCTTTGATGGAGTTCACAAGGTTCACAACTGTATGTGACTACTGGTTCCTTTCTGTCTCAGCAGCCTGCCTATTCCCTTGTGGTACTATAAAAGCTGGCCACTGGGGAAGAGGCTTCCAGTTCATTACCAGCTTGAGTATTCCAAGTCCTGTGACCAAAGTGCATGTTTCTTCAGCTATATGGGGTCTTACCATCAAGTTCGGGTGGGCCACCAAGAGCAACGGCAATAGCTTTTTTGTTTTGAGGGATGGGGGGGGCACACTTGACCAGGGAGACATCTCACACTTAGGACTGGGCTTTCTCTTTTGTAGTCTATAGTTTCTGGGAATAGCATTATTCTTCTTCCATGCAGGGTAGTTACAATCAAACTCACGGAGATCCATCTGCCTCTGCCTCCCTAGTGCTGGGATTAAAGGTGTGCGCCACCAACGCCCAGCTGCACTGTCATTCTTGATGGTGTGATATGTTTCTTGTAGACAACAAGAAGGTGGATCCTGTTCCTTAGTCCATTCAGTTATCTTGTCTTTTGGTTGGGAAGTTGTCGCCATAGAAACTTAAAGTTATGATGGAGAAGTGTGTCAATTGATGCCAGTTTGTTGTGCTTATGCTCTCAGTACTGTTTGTACACCAGTTATTATGATGACATTTGTCTTCCTCTTAAAGCCCCTTGGCCATGCTTACTCTTTCTTCAGTGCCAAGTATTCCTTCTAGTATTTTCTGCAGGGCTGGTTTGGCAGACACAATTTCTTTTGACCTAGTTTGCATCCTAGAAAACTGTTGTCTCCGGCTTAGTTTATTCCTGTTCCCTTTGTGTCCATTTTGGGTGTTTGTTCATTTCCTCTTTAAACTCTGAAGACTCGCTAGTCTGAACTCTTCATTGCTATTGTCCCTCTCTCTCCCATCTGCATTAAAAAAAAAAAAGTTCACGCGGCATAGTTCGGCTCCATCATGTGTCCCATGGTGTTGCTTATGTTTCCCAGCAAAGAAGTCTGGTGATGGGAATGAATTCCCAGAGACAGACCCCACATAACTAGCTCTTTTGACCTTTGCAAGTGACACCATAGCACCCAGCAGAGGAGTGACCACCCTCTGTGTTCTGATGGATGGCCCTGCTGGCTTGAGTATTTCTGTATGTGGGAATCTGATTGTTCAGAATATTGGATGGTAGATAGTCTGGGCAAAGTCCTCATTGTTATTATGAGACCTAGTCAAAGTGTAGTCTTCATTAGAATGTCTAATTCTGGAAGAAGTAGGCTCTCCTCACATTGTTCTTATGTGACAGGATGTCATCAAAGCCCAAGTGCCTACATTTCTAGAGTTTGTGCTCTTTGTTTTTGTTTTTTGAGACAGGGTTTCTCTGTATTGATTTGGAACCTGTCCTGGAACTCACTCTCTCTTTAGACCAGGCTTGCCTCAAACTCACTGAGATCCACTTGCCTCTGCCTCGAGAGTGCTGGGATTAAACAATGCCACCCACTCCCGGCAAGTTTGTGCTTTTTGTTTCAACAGAATTGTTGGCTCGGTTCTAGAAATTGTCATTTGAAATGTTTAACTCCGATGGTTACAATAAAAAGAAAAAGAAATACATTTTTGATCATGGTTCCTTTTGATTAAATCCTAGGCAAGAACGTACCTGTCACCTGAAGACCTTTTGAAGGGAGAAATCGAAGACGCACTGGAAAAGGTGCAGGTGGCCATCGGTATCTTAAAGACCTTCCAAAATTCTTTTTTCAAGTCTAGAAAACGATTGACAAGCTACTTCACAGGAAACACGGAGCAGAGGCCTTGGGATTTCCAGTCTCAACTGGTGTTTGGCAGATTTAACAACTTTCTTGCTCGGCTGATAAAAATAGAGGTATTCATTTATCTAGTCATGGGTGGCTGAGGTCAAGAAGCTTAGTGACTTGTCGTGTGACTTGTGTGCTGCCGAGGCCTACTCTAAGGAATGGAGATTTCACAGGCTTTAGCTCTGTGGCTTTTTAAAATTCCTTTCCTTTCCCCCTTCTTTTCTATGGCACTGGAGACCATACCCAGCCTTGCACACATACCTGGTATGTGTGCCACGCACACTGCCACGCACCCCTGGGTCTCTTGAACTACGTGGCTCAGGCTAGTCTTGAACTCTATCCTCCTGCGTCTTCCTCCAAAGTGCTGGAATGGCAGGAGTGTACCACCCACCCTACTTTTTATTCCTTTTTAAAATGGTTATTACACGAGAGTAAGTGAATCTCTTTACCTGTCAGTGATTAGACATAATTTCCCAAGTGCCTGTGGAAAATTGTGAAACAGGAAGCTATCAAGGATTCACCCTTCCTATAAATCCTGAAAAAGAAATGTATGAAACTTGAAAGTAAAATTTCATACTTGAAAACCCACTTGATAATTTAGAGTATCACAGTGTCATTTTCCCTGCCTAAAACACCCTTTATTTATGACAAGGTCTCACTATATAGCCCAGACTGCCCCAAACCTGCTTCAGAGTCCTGATCCTCTGCTCAATCTTCTAATGCCTGGCATTCACCCTGCCATATAAACAGATCTATTTAGACCATTCACAAATATTTACTATAAATGCCATAGAATTAATTAGCAAAATCATTCATAAAAGTAAAAACATGGAAATTTTACTTTGTATATGGATTTTTAAATTATTATTTTCTGTATATGGATGTTTTGTCTGAATGTACAGCTAGCTGTGTATCACATGCATGCAGTTCCTGCAGGGGCCAGAAGAGGGCACAGGATCCCTTGGAACCCGAGTTGCCCTCCATTGTCAGGCACCCTGTGGATGCTGGGAATCTAACTCAGGTCATCTAGAAGAGCAGTCAGGGCTCTTAACAACTGAACCCTCTTTCCAGTCCTATGTGTAAATATTTTTAAAAACAAAATAAAACCCTAAAATGTAAAAATTGAATGCACAAACTTTTGTGTTGAGTCTACCAAGGTAGGCTTCTTTTGGACCGATGGCAGTGCCCTCTTTTCAAGTTGTAGAGTTTTGTTTTTTGCAGAGTTTTACATTTTATTACTGAGGCAAGATTTGCTGGATTTCATTCAAAACCAGAGATTTATGTGAAAATTCTTATTGTCGGTCAGCCTGAATGCTGCTCAAGTCTCTCAAACACCTAAGGGTGATTTGCCTCTTCCTTTGTAGACAGCCTCCTGTTTTTCCCCTCCAGTCATGGTGCTGGGTTACTACAAAGTGTAGGTGGCTGAGGCTAGGAATGTTGGGTATCATCCAGGGATCTGTCTGCTTTAATCTTAGGATTGCACTCAGGTTCATGTGTACACAGAACACTAGGTGCTGTCTCCACTGTCAGGTACCTTTCGGTGATTAGAAATGGAGTGCGGTTTTAAAAAATCAGTATTAGCTGTGTTGGATGTAACCACAGTATTTGTTTTCTGTGTTGTAAGTGCCCATTGATCCTGAGTGTTTGAAAAAATGTTTGGATTGGAATCTTTAAAATCTCCTTTGTTGATGATGATGACGGAAAGGTGTTTTTTTTTTTTTTTTTTTTTTTTTTTTTTTTTTTTTTTTTACAAAGGATGTGTTCATCACCATACTGGAATTTGAAAAACTGGAAAGACTGGAGTTTGGTGGCACCAAGGGAGCAATCCTAAATGCACAAATACATGGGATGAGCGAAGAATTCATGGAATGCTGTAAAGTTTTCCAACAGAGCGTTTACGACCCATCTGACTGCGACGACATGGTGATAATACACATTTTCCTTTTAATTTTATTTCACAAAGGAAGGTAGATCACAGTGATAGTGCAGGCTACCCAGGCAGACCTTTGTAGGACCCAAAGATGTTAATGACTCTCTTCAGTTCTCCTGGCTCCTTGTTAAGATCAGGGACCAGATCTGAGCTTTCGGTTCAGAGATCTTAGACAACCATGGGCCTCGGTCCAGGCCAGTTTCTTGCGACTATCAAAAAGGAGTTTTTGTATTCATATGTATGAATCTGCTTGTTCAATGTCCATGTAACTTACATGCTTTGTTTTAAACTTTTCTGTGTAAAGTTTGGTCTGCTGAAACCTATCACCATTGCATCATTTACTAACATGAATATTGTCGCCATCATTTCTGTTATTTGTAACTATTAGTGATTTCATATTTTGAGCTTCAGAAGTAGGGGGAAGGTTTCGGATTCAAACTGCTTTCAGTTTCTATCCCTCTGAGCATGCTGGTGGAGGGTGAGTTCCCCGTGAGCCTTTCTCCAGCTCTAAGATGAAGAGCTTTTTATGTGGTTTGCCCAAACCAGAAACCCGAGTTTAAAAAGGAAGAAAAATTTTAGTTTACATTTTAAAGTAAAAATTTAGTTTACCTTTTTAAGTTTATTCACGCTTGTGTATCTATTGTTGAGATCAATCTCTGAAAAACTAGGAGCGCAGTGTGTCAACTTCATCAGGGTGTGTAGTTAGCAAACTCGATCCTTCTTAAGTCCAGTGACTTTGGGCAAGTGCAGTTACTGTGAGCAAGATGCTGCCATAGTCAGTGGGCCTCTTGAATGTTTCTGTATAATTTATGGAAAAGTAGGATGAATGTTCAACAATCATTCCAAGCTCATCCCTAGAGCCATAGCAGGCACTGGGAAAACTTCAGTATGTGGGGCTGTGAGCCACTGGAAGAGCCGCGGTGTTCTTAACCACTGAGCCATCTCTCCAGCCTCTCTCTTCTTTCGTAAGGCGTGTCTTGATTAGTTTCATTTTCTCAGTGCATGGCATCACATAATCATTTTGGGGACCAAAGAGTGGGCCAGCTGGTTAAGAGTGCTGGTTGCTCTTCCAGGGAATCGGATTTAATCCTCATCATCCGTTTAGCAACTCACAGCCCATCTGTAGCTTCCATCCCAAGAGGTCTGATATTCTTTTCTGGCTTCCATGGGGACTGCATGTATGTGGTACACAGACATACATGTAGGCCTGTCTTTTTCATTATAGGGTGGCCCTTTTAAATTCCTTTCACAAATGTGAATACTTTAGAATGTGTATTCTTGAGGAAGCTTCTGTGGTAGTAGGTTTCCATATGTCTTTCATAAGGCCTTTATTTTTAGTTGGCCCTCCCCCACTCTGTAACCAGCACTCCTGTTCCTCTCCCCGTTTAAACCTTCTGTTCCACTTTCCCTAAATCAATCTCTCTCTCTCTCTCTCTCTCTCTCTCTCTCTCTCTCTCTCTCTCTCTCTCTCTGGTGAGCCACTAACACCTGGCTTGCTTCTGCAGTTTTATTTAATTAATTAATTAATTAATTAATTAATTTTGGTTTTTTGAGACAGGGTTTCTCTGTGTCCCTGAAACTAGCTCTTGTAGATCAGGCTGGTCTCAAACTCACAGAGATCCACCTGCCTCTGGCTCCCAAGTACTGGGATTCAAGGCATATGCCATCACTTCCTGGGCATCCCCTAAATCTCTTTTTAACACTGTGTTCTCTCTCATGGGAGATGCCCTCTTCCCTACCGGTACTTACAGCTACCTAGCCTCTGTGGTGATTTTGACTGAAATACATACATATCTAAAGTTTAAAAGCTAATTATCCACATTTAAGAGAAACGTGAAATGTTTATCTTTTAAAGTCTGGGGTTACCTTACTCATGATAACTGTTTCCAGTTCTGTTCACTTGTAAATTTGCGTTTTTCTTAACAGATGAATAACATTCCATTGTTTACACATGGGAAAGAGTTTATTTTGGCTTAGGGTTCCATATCATAGTCCATCACTGGAGGAAGTTAGAGGAAGAGTTCAAGGCAGGTGAACCTGTGCAGAGGCTACAGAGGACAGCTGCTTGCTGTCTTGCACCTCATGGCTTGCTCAGCCAACTTTCTTAAAGCTCCTGGGACCTCCAGCCCAGGAACCACCGAAGTGAGCTGAGCTCGCCCATGTCAATCAAGAAAATACAACATAGGATTGTCATTCCAGTGTATGTGTGGGGGATTTTCTCAGTGGAGAATCTCTCTTCCAAAGTGATTCTAGCTTGTGTCAAGTGGACATAAAACTAACCAGCATACCCCCTACACTGTTCTTTTGCTGTTCCTCTGTCCTGTCTTCTAATTTATACAAGTTTCTCTGCTTTAGTTATTTAAGGAATTTTTATGTATCTTGTTTGTTTCTTTTTCAAATATTACTTATTTAAAAAGTTACTTATTCTTTTGGGCAGGTAACATTTGCAAAAAAAAAAAATTAGCTTCATTCTCACTGCACAGCCTTTTTGTAAGTGTAATATTTTGGGAGCCTGAGGTCAGAGAGTTTGACACCAGACAGAGTGGCACGGCAATTTTGTCTAAAAAGACAAAACAAAAAAACCAAAGCAATCTTTGTTAAAATGATTCCAACATTATTCCTCCTCAAAGGTACCTCCATAATGAGTGTCCTATAAAATGCCTCAGAAAGGTTGTTTCAAATAATGACACATGTCTGTGTTCATCTTTTTTGTTCCCATTTTTCACAAAGAGCCTCCGACATACAGTGTAACCATCTTGTTCCTAACTGTATTTTGGCAGCTTTTGGGTGTTGCTGTAATTATATTTCTACTTTCCTTTTTTCCCCACAATTGTACGCTATTCAATAAAGGATATATATATATATCCTCATGTTAAATACAACTAAGATTTTAGCCATCACACACACACATACACAAAGAGGAAGAAGAGGAGAGGAGAGGAGGAGGAAGAGGAAGAGGAAGAGGAAGAAAAGAAGAAGAAGAAGAAGAAGAAGAAGAAGAAGAAGAAGAAGAAGAAGAAGAAGAAATAATCAGATTGGCTAAGAACCTCAGAACCCAGAAAACAATATGGAAGTAAGGTCCTTGAGTTTTCATATTGTGAAAAATAGTCCAGAATTAGAAACAAGTATATCAGGAAACTAGACATGCCAGTAGGCACACACCATTGATCCCTATAAAAACCTGACTGTGTTTTAGCCAGGAGGATTGAGAAGAGGGCACCCTTTAAAAATATAAAACTTACCAGTGTCTACACTGTAGCTAGGTACCAATGAAGCATCGGTTTCCCACCGCAGCTCTAAACTACCAGGTTGGCATCCAATTGCTCCACCCCTCACCCCTGCAGGGTGGTGTCAGAGGTGACTAAGAAGGAGCCATGGTCTTCATGCCTGCTGGCCGGAGAGAGCCCTCCTCTCTATGGCACTGATGGAGACCATATGGAAATCTGATTTTTTCATTTTGATTTTTGTTTTTTTGCCTCACCTGGTAGATCCCCGTGTTATAGGGGTGGTATTAGAGGAAGCCTGGTTGAGACTGAGGACTTTGACACATGTGGCATCCATAGAGCCCACAGGGAGTTGGACCTCCTAGTATGGTTGTAACGGTAACCAGGAGACCTTCTGGCCTTGTGTATTTGGAGAGTTCCAGGGGAGAATCTGGACCTGTGTCTCCTGACAGTAATGGAGCGTTATGGTCCACAGTTTTAACATTTGACAATGCCTGGATATCAGCTGATGAGTACTCACTATACTGTGAACCAGGAAGATCTCAGCTGAGAAGAAGGTGAGCTGCACTGATGGTAGAGACATTGGGACCATCTGACAGTGACCGCTGTTTTGGAGACAGAGTTGCTTCACCATTCCATCAAACTACACTATGGTGTCAAACTCCCGAGCCCAGGTGACTCTGACCTCAGGTTCTCAAGTTTACACATATGGATCACTAAGCCTGTCTTTTAAATTTTAAAAACTAAAAGTGAGAGAGAAATGACCTCTTACCTGTAGATGAATAAATTTGATTAGTATATTTCTTATCAGAAATCACAGATGTCAGAATTCACCGGGAAAAATGGGTTCTGAGAAAGAACTGTAAATCTAGGGTTCCCTGCCCTCAGCAACAAAAGGGAAACCAAGGAATAACCAGATGAACAAAAAATAAAAGACTATTCCCAGCAGACTGATCTTAAGAGAATGAGGAAGGAGCTTTATACACCAGAAGGGCTGCAGTAGATGGATGGATATAGCATGTGTTATGATAGGTCTTCCTCCCCTCCAGTCTTCCAAGTTATGTTTGCAAGTGGAAGTTAAACGTTATCACCGCTTCATTCTTGGTGTTAGAGATTGGATCTAGGGCCTCATAGCTGCTAGGCGATTGCCCCAGTCCTGAGATATACCAAACCAAATCCTACTTCTAAGTGTATGTACAGAATATATTTGAGACAATTATACTATACATGGAGGAAGAAAAGGATTAAGAAGCATTGCCTGTTCAGTGTCATGAACGTTTCTCAGTGTCCTCCTCTGGAAATTTTATGGTTTTCATGGCTATAATTAAGGCTGTAATCTATTTTGAATTAATTTTTAAGTGTTATGGGGCTCCAAGTTGACTCCTGCAAAAGGATGGTGAATCCATCTCCCTAGAAGCATTTGTTGAAGAGATTGTTCTTGCCTTGCTGAGTGGTTTTGCAACCTTATCAACAATGACATGATTGTGTGTATGAGAGTTCATGTCTGGGTTCCTATGCTATTTTGTTGATCTATATGCCAGTACTGCATTGATATCAATATTATAGACTTGTAGGCTTTCTACTAGAAAGTGTAAGCTTGCTAACTTTGGAAAGATTTAGTCACATCTTTAGGACAATATTTTTTTAATTACTGCAAAGAATCACAGAGATTTTCATAGGGATTAGATTGACGGGGCAGATTGTTTTGGATAGTATGGTCTCTACAATGACATTAAACCCATGTAAGCGGATTATTTTTCTACCCACCCCTCCTTTAATTGTTTACAGCAAACTATTTTATAGCTTCTGGTATATAAGTCTTTGACTTCTCTGGTCAAACTTACTACGAAGTATTTTATTCTTTTTAATACTGCTATGGATGGAATTGTTTTCTTTTTAGGATTGGTCATTGCTAGTATACCTAAATGCAATTTTTTTCTCTCTGTGTATATATGTTTATGTGTCTTGTCTGTGCAGGAGCATATCCATATGGAAGGGGAGGTAAACAACAGGGGTCAACCTCCTGTGTTGTTCCCCAGGCTGCACATTCCTGGAGCTTGACAGTTTAGGCTGGGCTTGCTCAAGGCCAGGGAGCCCAGGGAGCCTCCTGGGTTAAAAGCACGTGCCACCACACCGGGCTTTATTTATTCAGGCCCTAGGGAAGGAACACAGATTCTTATGTTTGCACAGAAAACACAGCTTTACTACTGACTGAGCGTCCCAGTCCATAACTGACGTTGTATATTGACTTCTCACCCTGAAACCTTGCTGAGTTTGTTTATTGACTTTGTTTCTTAGGCTTGCAGTCTTTAGATAAAAATCATGTCACCTGTGAATAGGCACAAGTACTTTCCAATTTGGATGGTTTTTCTATTTACTTGCCTAATGACCCTGGTGACAGTTCCCAATGCTGTATTAAATTAGAGTTGGGCATTCGGGTCTTGTTGGACTTCAGAGAAGAACTTTCACCCCTTTCATCTTTGGGGATGATGCTAACCACTCAGTGCTCATGGGAGGCCAGTGTTGGGGATCTTTAATACCCTTAGCGTTTCATCCAATGTTTATCTCATGAAAGAGTGTTGAATATTGAGCTGCTTCTGCCTCATGTGAGGTCTACTCCCCACTCTCATTCTCTTAATGTGGTATATTGTGTAGGTTTTTCTTGTATGTTAAACCACCCTGCTGTTAGGGAATATTTCTCTTGACTGCTGTTTGTAATTCTTCTAATATACTGCTGAATTCCATTTGCATATTGTCTCACCATTCATGAGGAAGATTGGTCTGAAGTTTTCTCTTCTTGAAGTATCTTTATCTGCCTTTGGGATCAGAGCAGTTCTTATCTGGTAGAATGAGTTAGCAAACTTGAGAAGGCTTGGCCTTAATTCTCCTTTAAATACTCATGGTAAGACCATCTGGTTTTGAGCTTTCACCAATTGGGAAGCGGCTTTTTACTTACATTGTCTCCTTACTAGTTTTGGCTTTTCTGATTTGATCTTGTTAGATGGTGTGTCTCTAGGAATTTGTCCTTTTCATCTGGGTTGCCCTTCCTTCACCCCAGACTCCCTGAAAGTCCTGTTATGTGGGCCAGGTTGACCTGCTCTTCACCCTCCTTCCTCTACTGCCATGTGCTGGGCTCACAGACATGTACCACCATCCATGCCTAGCTATGTTTTCTAACTTTGTGCATAGTTATTCATAGTACTGCTTTGCAGTCGTTTTTATTTCCAGAAATTCATAATAATATCTCCACTTTCATTTTGTAATTGAGTATTAAGTATTCAGAGAAAACTGGCTGTGGGAGACTAAATCCTGAGAAAATTTGTCAATCTTCTGAATTGATGTGTTTGGATCACTTTTATTTAATGTAACTAAAGAATTGTATTTTGAAGAATCAACATTTCCTTTTGCTGTGTACCTCACATTGTACTTAATTCTCTTGGCTTGCTTATCTTGTATATTTGTGATGTTTGTATCCTCTGGTCTACCTCTCCCCACTTCCATCTTCCCACAATAACCCAAATCCATGTATAGTGAGACCACACAGTAGTTTTTCTTGACATTTGACTGATTTCACTTGTGCGGTGTCCCCTAGGGATGTCTATGTCATGACAAATGACAAGATTTCCTTTTTTTCTGAACAGAGTAACATTCCATTTTTTAAATAATCTTTCTCTCCTCTCTCTCTCTCTCTCTCTCTCTCTCTCTCTCTCTCTCTCTCTCTTTCTCTCTCCCTCTATCCCCCTCTCCTGTGTGTGTGTGTGTGTGTGTGTGTGTGTGTGTGGTTGTTTAATCCATTTATGTGCTGACTAGCATTTACATTGTTGCATATACTAGAGTGTGTTACCTGCCCTCAACTTCCTACAGCTGTCTTTCTGAGGTAATGTCATCTCAATTGAAGGTAGACTCATGTGAAGGACCACAGAGTTATATAGTTCTTCTATTTTCACATACTTTAAGGCCTTTCACTTGTTCCTGCAGTGGTAATAACAATGGGCATCTCTCTCCAGTGCAGAGAGAACATAGATGACACCAAAGGGGATTTGACCTAGAGGTGTAAAGTAGGTTCAGTATTTGGTGTAAATTTCAAACTGATATTGTAGTTTACAATTTAACTCTCTTGATTAAAGGATGCCGCACGCATTTGATCCCAGCACTCAGGAGGCAGAGGCAGGCGGATCTCTGTGAGTTCGAGGCCAGTCTGGTCTCCAGAACGAGTGCCAGGATAGGCTCCAAAGCTACACAGAGAAACCCTTTCTCGAAAAACCAAAAACAAAAAAAACCCAAAATAGCAGAGATGTGAAGTAAACAGGCAAAGATGTAACCACAGCATCCGCACTGTAGACGTCAGCTGTGTGGCATTTAGGGTTTAAGAATAACTGCAGTGGAGGGATTGTGCGAATCACTGCAGAAAACAAAACTGATGAAGCTCATTGATGACACCCATTCATGATATTCCCCGGTGCCCCCCAGCCCGGCTGGAAGGGCAAAGAACTTCCGTCAGACCTAAAGCACAGGCACTCAGCAGTTATGGATTTCCTCAAGTCCTGAACACACAGCGTGACTGCCTGACCAGCAGCCCCACCAGGGATTCAATGGATACCTCAAAATCAACTGGTTCAGAACTAAGTTTTTCCCCAAGCCTCCAGACTGCTCTGCAGCTCTTCAGATGTCACAAATAATTGGCTTCTTAGGGCAAGTGCTTAGAGTCATCCATGGTTTTACTCATTTCCTCTGAGTTTGTCTGGGAAGGATATCTACAGCTCATTTTTCACCTGGATCACTGCTTTTCCTGAAAGCTGCTACTCTCTGGCCTGTTTTGGCTCCATGAATTTATTCTCGGTGTAGCAGCTTGAGAAACTTTCTCATGCTTAGTCAAATCATGGCTTTTCTCTAATTAAAACCTTCAGATAGCTTCCCAGGATGCTAATAAAGGGAATTTTGTACTTTCCAGACTATAGAAACATTTTTTAATGATTCCTGAGTCATACTAGCTCACCACTTACTATGTAATAAATACTTACTGGGAAACAGCTATGAGCCGGGAACTCCATGAAATATTAGTACTATCACTGTGAAAAATAAGTCCAGTTGTTAGCCTTATTGACTCAGAATCCAGGGGAGACTATTGGTAGGCAATTACTGTACAGCATGCTTAGTGCCAGGACATTAAAATAGAGCCTTGTTCCAGAGGTGAGAGTGCAGAGAGATCTGTAACACAAACGGGAAGGAAGCAAGAGAGAAGTTGATAAGGGCAATTAGAGCTGACGGGTGTGGCTACACCCTAGAGTGAGACTACTAAGGAAGCGTCTGAACACCTTAGAGCAGTCAGTGAGGTCCCAGCCACACAGGGCCTTAAGAGCCATGCTCCTAACTATCATGCTACTTTAGTAAATTCATATTATTAAGTGAGATGATAATTTACAGGAGTTTGACTCGGAGTGACACAGGTCACTTAGGCTACATCTTGGAGGAGGTTTAGAGGTGGTAACAGCAGCCTAGGTGAACAGCCAATGGTAGCTGGGAGGGACTTGCTGGAATAGATGGAGACAGACAGCAGGGGATAGTTAAGAGCAAAGATGGCTAGCAGGTATCAAAGAGTCGAAGGGGCTTCCCAAGTTTCTTTAGGGGTTTATAAAAAGAGCAACTTAGAGATAGAGACATGGATGAATTCAGATTTGTATAAGTGTGAATTCTCTGTGGCAGTGTCTTTTTTTTATAAAGTATGTGTTCGTGTGTGTGTGTGTGTGTGTGTGTGTGTGTGTGTGTCTAGGGTGGAGACTTTTGTTTCATCCACTTCTGGTGTTGCTCATTGTCTCTAAGGGTTAAGTGGTTAAGGATTCTAGACTGTGTACTCTGTTTCTATCCTGAGAGGAGGGGTGTGTGAGGCTTGTTAAAACTTGTTGGGAAGTTGTATTTACTTCCAAGTGAGTGATTCTTGAGTGGAGAGGCTGCTTGGCTAGTATTCAGGAGACTTAGCTCCGTCCTCTTGATGTTAGATGTAATACTGTGGTTTGTGACAGTGTCCAGAACTCCACCATGAGCCAATCTTTCCATTCCAAGTTAAACTTAATGTCGGTGACCTGCTCGGTGTTCTCAGGGTCCAAGAAGTGAGACTCATGGTACAGACCTGCTCAGTGTTCCCAGGGATTTGGGTGCCTTGGGGGTTGCCAGCTGCTTATTAATGAGAGCATGGAAACCATATCTGCACATTTCCCCTTCTTCTGCCACTCCTGACACTTTCTCACAGTGGAGTGGCTGTCAGTCCTTACCTGATAACACAGTGTTTTCACAAGCGGGTTTTCCGTTCCACAGATAAAACATTCTGTGGAACTTAACAGGCGACACTTGGTTCTAACAGAGATGCTCGGAGAAAGCCGTGCTCTTTATTTGTGATTGAGATAGATGAAAGAAGGCAGACAAGCTGATGCCCACATGCAAGTGTAGGGCCACAGTACTGAGAGGGCTGAGCCCCATGAAAACATGGGTAACATGCCACCACACAGGCAGTGTTCTATCAGGTGACCACTTGCACAGTCAGTCAGATGCAGCTTTTCTTGGTCTCTTCTGGAATCCGCTTACAAAATACAAAATAATTGAGAGACTGAGGGAAAGTAGGGTTTAACTTAAGTGGTTGCTGTTTTCCCTGTTGAAGTCTTCTCTGTAACATTTTTATTTTCCATGATGCAGGGGTTTGAAGGTGACTATTTCAAATTTAAGTCTAAAACCCTGGATTTTGACAGACAGCTTGGGACACTGCTCTGTGAAGGTCTCTGTAACTGCACTGGTTTGGAATCTGCATTTAAGGTCAGTTCTGCACTCCTAAGAAAATGAATTGTTTACACTGTTAGATGACAAGGTCAAATACATTCTCTTCTGATTCAGGTAAAGTATTATTAACCAGATCATCCACACCTTCCCTTTGCACTCAAGCCCACCAAATAATAAGGTTTAGAAAGCACCTAGAAAGCAGCAGTGTTTACTCTGGGAAGGTCATTTTTAGGACATTTAACTTTTGATATTTTCTGGCATTCACTGTATTTCAGCCCTCATTTCCTGTAGAGAGAATTAGATGTGGACAATGAAATATTGACTTGACAGTAAATCACATTGGAAAGTAAAAAGAAAAAAAATCTATAATTTCAGTAATTTGTTCCTTTAGATTGTTTGCCTATGCCAGGATCATCTGCCTACTTTATGACTGAGACTGAAACAAATAAGGGCTAATTTTCTCTGTATCATTGGATGTAAGGCACCATTGATTACCAGGCATTATTTATTTGTCAATAAGAAAAAAATGCTGCTATATTAATCATAATCCCATTGATTGACTAATGCATTCTGACACTAGAGTTATTGAAACATGGGAGTATGTTTCGTGAATGAACCTAATAGATTATACATGCATTAAGAATCATGTAGAGGGTTGGGGGATGTAGCAGTGCTCACCCACTAGACCACTGAGTGGGTGGGTGGGAGGGAGGGAGAGAGATGGGGAGTGGAGTGTTTCTGGGAAAGAAATGCATTTTGATAGCTCTTGGAGATGGAAAACTTGTAATATGGAAATAGAAACAGCATGTTTTAAAATAAGTGAATTCCAAGTCGCGTGTGTGATACTAGGTGATATCCCAAAGGGGAATTGAACGTTTGCCACCCAAGCCAGCACAGTTGGGAACCACAGGTACAGCATAAAGTCATACAGCAGCAGATTTCAAAGAAGATATTATTGGGTTTTCAGATGGGTTGAGCAACACTGGTGAAGCTACTGTGTCTGTTTCCTCCTTAAGTTAACTACTGAGTGTTGTGACATCAAGGATTGAGAAAGGGGGAAAATGGCAATTTTTTTAAACAAAAACATTTCAGGTAAAACTGAGGTTCTCATTGGCCAAGATATATGATATGTTTCTGTGGTCTCCTTTTTTGGGTACAGTTAATTTATGTTTAATATGCTATTTCTTCCTTTGGCAAGATATGAATACATTTTGTTCTTAGACAAAACAACAGTATTCTGATCTACTTTGTAGCTTTTCCCATTTAGCAGAGAGTTATCCTTTTTTTTTCCTAATGCAATTGAATAGTAGTTCTTTCTAATGCCTGTGTATGACTTCTAATATTTCTGTTACTAGAAACCATTATCTTTTAAGCTTTTGTGGGTAACCAGAAGAAAGAGTGAGCTCTCCATCTAGAGAGATTCCCAACTCCGTTTCATTAGCAGTCTAGTTCAAATTGTTCTTCTTGCCCACTCACAACCCTTAACATGGGTTATTTAAGCACACTAGTTTATATTTTTCCTAAGCAGTTTCATCTTGTTGTCAAGTGGTTTAAAAAAAGCATTCCACATATTTGTAGCTTGACTACTAAAATAATAAGATAAAATCCTGCCTTAAGAAACCCAGGATATAATGGGCATTCTCTTCTAGCTTTTGTTAGGATTGGGTTGCCTTGTAGACAGTAGGTACTTACTAATAGCCCAGGGGTAGTTGGATTAACTGGAATTAGAAGTGACATACTCTAGGGAGGGGAAGAGCAGAAGAAAGATGTACAGGGTTAGTTATATACTCCAAGAAAACATGATCTCATCCATAGATGCAGGTTGAAGAACTCTGACCATCGGTTGTTCTAGAGGGGGAATATTTTTGTAGGTTATGGCTGAGAGATGAAAGCTTGATGTTTGCTCTTGGTAAAGATGTGGCCAGGAAGGAGGATGGGTCCTAGTATTCTGGTGTAAACCTGTAATGTTTAAGAACCTAGAATGCTGGCATCTGCTGAAGATGAAACACAACACTAATAAATGACTCTGAGATTTGTATTTAAGTAAATTGAAGCATGTTGGGAAAAGAGTTCAGAAAAGATTTTAAACAGCATGCTGGTTGAATGTAGTTCATTCAAAAATCTGAAGCCCAAAGTGCTCAAATACTTTGAGGTCCAGATAATGCCATAGGTGGCACATTCCATGTTGTTAAGTTTGTTTCATATACAATACTATTAAAAATGATATGAAATTACCCTCAGTCTAAGTGTAGATAGGATATATGAATTGTATGCTTAGGTATATACTCTAGCCCTTAGGGTATTTCATTGTGTGTTGGGGGGTGGGAATGGAGAGTATGAATATTCCAAATCCCCAAAAGCTAAGTCAAAGATCCTTCTAGTCCCAAGCATCGTTGATAGGTTCATCCTGCATATTCGTGTGTGTGTGTGTGTGTGTGTGTGTGTGTGTGTGTGTGTGTGTGTAACTATATATATTGTGTGTATAACTATATAATTATGTAACACACACATATATATACATATATATATATATGTATATATATTTCACAGGATTAAAAAGTCTTTGAACAGGACAAAGCCAGGAAAAATTAATATTGATACTACTTTGAGCAGTAGAGCAGAATTATGAAAAACTGTGTCACATTAAGAAGCTGAGAGGCAGAGGGGATTAAAGAGTTTTGAAATGGAATCTTTAGGGAAAGAAAATGTTGGGGGATTTAGCCTTCAGCTTGCAGGACCAGTGTGAAGGAAAACATCTGGGACTGTAAAACCACTGACGGTTCAGACTCAAAGTGTCAAGAGGCTGCTGCAGCTGTAGTTCTCATCCTAGAGGTGAACGCTTATGTATTGATGGCCATGAGCTGTTGGTATCGCACAGACTTCCCAGCAGGTCAAAAAGCACTACTCTGTAGCTCCCCAGCTTGTCTTTAGAATACTTCTGTCTCTTCTTTTGCAAACTCAGGGCTTAAGCACCAGCAGGAGAGTAAGCAAGATGAAATATAACCCAGAAACTTCTGGAGAATATAAGACCATGTGAAGAAAGAAATTCATTTCCAGTAAATGTTGGGGTTCCCTCTGTCAACCTAGGAGGGTAGTGCTCACTTGTGAGTTCACAGGAAGCCTCAGCTGACAACATAGTGGACTGGCCAAGAAAGTTAATAATTAATGTTTTGCTAGGTAGCTGATCAACTGGGTTTAAAATAATCTGGAAGTTTCTATTACTGTTACAACCGTTAATCAGAAAAGGCCAGAATGTGTTTGTCTTTGATGGCCCATGATGGCGCATTTATGTCTTAATTTATATAACTTTTTTCACTGTGTTATTTTCACTGAGTATAGCTTATAAGAATGTTTACAAAACTTCTCTATCAAAGCTATTTTTCAATGAAAGGTTTGAGGAACACCCATTGCTTCCTAAGAAAACAGAACAAAATTCTCTTCATTTTCATTTGCTTTACTTAGTTGTTTTGAAATATCTCTTGAGGAAAACACCAATATAAAATGCACACATTATGAAGTGCACACATTATGAAGCCCACATAGGTATAATCCAAGATCCTTTCGAGCATTTCAGTCTTGCATGTTATTGAACTCATCTATGTATACTCGCTCTATTTCTCATATTTATGTGCCCATGATCAGTGGAGCTTAGAAATTAGGCACACTAGGAGAGTAACAACATTGACTAACAAACAGAATCGTTGCAGCAATATCATATAAAATTACAGAACTGAACAAAAAACTTAGGAAATTGTCCCATTCTAGAATTTTTATATTTGATATTTTTAGACCACAGTTTAGCCACTAGTAACTGAAACAGTAGAAAACAAGATATTGGATGGGGGAGACTAAGAGGGAACCAGTGAGAGGGTAGAACTGAAGGAGGAAACCTGGTTTTTAATCTAGCTCTGCCAATAGCCTATACATTTTGGCAAGTGACTTCCCCCTGCAATTCAGTTCCTTGTGGGAGAGCATCTGACAGCAGTGTTTTTAAGGCCTCCAATTAACCATGCCTGGCACACAGTGCTGTGCAAACTCCCATTGCATACAAATATTGCATTCCTATGCATTTAGCTTGCCAAGAAAGCCACCTTTTGAGGACACACCAGAGAGTACGCTTATCTCATATTCACGGACACTGGTAAGGAGCTGGGGAGCCTGGGAGTCCTCAGTGAGCTGTAGAGAGTGTGGGCCTTCAGGAAGTTGATGCCATCACCAGATTGGTAACCATCATCTACTTGTCTCTGTCCCACTCTCTCTCCACATGCTTCCTCTGCTTGCTCATAGTTTCTAGCTGCTTGTAACTTACATTGCATGAATTGATCCAGCCATGTGCTCTTTCTGAGAGACAGCTGGATCAACTGAAGGCATTGGCTTGAGCCAGGACTTTTTGTGTCAAAGGAGGTGTTCACCTATGTACTCACAATGGTAACCATTGCTACCCCTGACCACTGTTAGGGGCAACTAGATCCTGGGAGTGGGCTAGGGGCCTGAGCAGAGCAGTTACTGCCATTGGTACATTTGGTGTAGTTATTGATGAGGAGAAACATAACACACACTTAAGTCTTCTACTTTTACACACTAAGCAAGTTGAAAACGTTCCCTGACACCCAGCAGGAGGGATTGCTAGCCGTGAGCCAGCACTGCTGGTAGACATTGGCTCACTTCTAATCTTCTCAATTTCCATGTTGGCAAAGAAATTTCATGTGGAATTTGGTTCATTGGTTATATAGAATTTTAGGAAAAGACAAAATGTATTTTATCTTCCGTGGCACCACGTGTATTTTAGCATACTAGGCTTTGCCTCTAGACAGGTAAGGAGTTAAGTTACAGAAGTTGCGAGCCGAATTCTTGTACTAAAAAAATCGAAGTTCTTAACCTTTCTTTAACTTTGATCTTTTTTATAGCTTTTGACCATATTTGGGAATTTTCTAGAGAAACCAGTTGTCATGGAAATTTTCAGCCCACATTACAGCACATTGCTGAATATGTTTAATACAGAATTGGATGTGTGTAAGCAACTGTATGATGACCACATGAAGCAGGTGAGCTGTGGCAAGATGGAGAAACTTCAACATTTATATGGAGCCATTTTTTATTGTGTGTAAGGATTAGATTTTATGATAAATTATCCTTGGGATTTGAAATTAGTGCATTATCTATAGACATTAAGTATTATTTAGTGTTAGGGATTGAACCTGAGACCTTCACCATGCTAGGAAAAAAACTCTACCACTGAGCTATGCTGCCAACTGAATGCTATTTAATGTTTTTCTTACAGAGATGGGGAACTTGGTTTGGGCACTAACCTCTTCATTAGTGAAGTTATTAAACACCCATGTTTAATGCCACTGTGAATGTAAAACAAATAATTGCTTATGAGGTTGGAAAGCACCCTGATTGTCCCTTATCTTCCTCTTTGTGAAAATGTCAACATACAGGTTGAACATGGGCATGAAATTCTCAACAAGAATATGCCATTCACCTCTGGAAATATTAAATGGGCCAGAATGCTCCTTGAACGCCTTCAAATATTTTGGTCAAACTTTACATCTCTCCATTATCTGTGAGTAATTAGCCTTACTTCATGGTTAATTATGCTGGTGTTATGGGAAGTTTTGCATTGAGAAGGGTGTGATGGGTGCCCAGTTAGTCCTCAAACTCATTAGGTAGCTGAGGATGACCTTGAGGTCCTGATCAGCAGCCTTAACCTCCCCGGTGATAGGATTATAAGCAAATGGTACAGCACTGGCTGGTGGCTGTTCATATTAGCACCTGAGGATATGCTGACCTCCTTTTTGGTTGGGTTTGATCTAGTGAGAGGGCTTTATCATAATTTTGGTACTTTTATGCAGCTCATAGCTTCATATTGTTCATATTGTTTTCTGGTTCTTTTATCTTTTAGTGTCTCCTTTTCATTCACTGTCTGGAAAGTTTGATTATTTTACTTCCTCTTCTCTGTCACACAGCGCTCTGCACCCCTTTTTAACCTCCTTCTAGAAACTGGTAACTTGCTGACATTTCATGACACCTTTGGGGTTCCATTTATCCATTTGTAATGACCTTTGTCTTTAAGCAGATATGATTTTAAAACAATGTAAGGCTTTCAGATGCTTCTCTCTCTGGTCTTTACAATACGGGATCCCATTCTCTACTGTAAAATAAACTGTGCTCTGTTGGCATATGTAGAAAACTAGATGCACCTTGTTGCTGCAGATTTCCAGACAGTCCTGATGAGACTGCAGTCTGTCAGAAGTACACTGAAATGACCAGTTTGCTGGATCAGTTTGAAAGTCATGTCTATAGCGAATGGAGAAGAACTGTGGATGAAACTTGTGAATTTAATTTGAACCAGCCTCTGGTTAAATTCAGTGCCATCAACGGCCTTCTTAGTGTCAACTTTGACCCAAAGGTAGGACTTTGCCTTTCTAATGCATTATAGATGTTACTCATCTGTCCCTGAAGCCTCTCTGAAGATGGAAGAGTTCACTTCGGTCATTTCGACCATTTTGGGAAAGTAACGGTACTGTGAGGAGTATAGATTTTAAACTTGGGAAAGTTTTCCTTGCAGATTTGTTTCCATGTGTATATGAGTGTGTGTGTGTGTGTGTGTGTGTGTGTGTGTGTGTGTGTGTGTGTGTGTACTTGTACATGCGTTTGATTGAACTTGGGACCTGAGAGGTTTTAGGCAAACACTCTACCAGTGAGCTTATTTATTTATACCTCTGTTGGCAGAACTTTTTGCTCCACAAGCCACTCCCAGGTAACCACACAGAATTAATATTAATTGTAAATGCTTGGCCGATAGTTCAGGCTTGTTACTAACTAACTCTTACATTTACATTAATCCATCTTTTCTTATCTACCCTCTGTCACATGGCTCAGGGTGTGTTACCCCATTTTCTATATGCCCTACTTCCTTTGGTGTCTTCTGACTCCCTCCTTCTTCCCAGAATCCCCCCACTCTGACTCTCCTGCCCAATCGCTTCCTGCCCTGTCAGTTCTTTAGTAACCAATGAGAGTAATACATATTCACAGTGCACAGAAGGATTATTCTACAACATACCTTACTTATTTATCACCAAGTTCCTTACTGATTTATTATTTTTGGGATAGGGCTCTCACTGTTGCCCAGGCTGGCTTTGAATTCACCTTGTAGCCCAGGAAAAATGTTGAACTAGCAATCCTTCTGTCTCTGCCTCCTAAGTAACTGGGGTTGCAGCCTGTAGGTGGGGTTTTCCCATCTGGGTAACCCCTCCCAAATTACAACACAGATACTTACATTAATAGCAAATGCTCAACCAATAGCTCAGTCTTATTACTAACTGACTCTTACATTTTAAGTTAGTCCATATTCCCTATTTATGCTCTGTCACATGGCAATACCTTTATTTGCATGGCACATTCATCTCCTGCTCCCTCTGTGTCTGGATGGCCACCTCCTACCTCTTCCCTTCTCCTTTCAGCATTCTCAATTTAGCTTTCCCACCTAACTTTATTCTGTTTGGCTCAGTCAGCTTCTTTATTAAACCAATTACAGTGACAAGTCCTCACAGTGTACAAAAGGATTATTCCACAGAAACAGTCACTTCCTTTGCTCCTTATTAATTAATTAACACCTTGTAATGACTACTTTACCACCCCATAGCCACCTGATGGTGAGCTGCTAAGGACTGGGGGGTCCACTTCATCTTTTCTGTGTTCCATGTTCCAGCTTCCTGTCTGGTAACTAAGAACCTTAGTAACCTTAACTCAGTTGACTGGCACCTATAGTCTACCAGATGGCTTCTGGTACATCTGTTTTCATAGCAAGTACCAGGTTGCATTAGTTAATTAAAATATGAAAACCATAGATTAAAAGGAGCAAAGGTCTGTCATGATTTTGGTTGATAAAAGACGTTTCTGCTTGTCATCATTTCTTTCAAAGGGAAGATAAGCTTGTTGATGCAAGCTTATGATGTAAGTTTCTGTGACAAGAAAAAAGAAAGAATTTGATGAATTTTAGGTAATGAAGAATACTCAGGATTACAGAAGTGATTGGGCAGAGCCCCATCTGGCAGTCCCAATGCCTGTCTAAGACTTGGGAAGTCTGCTTACCAAATTAGAGGGTCACACTGAACACCCTAACTCTGGTCTATTTCTCTAAAATAAACACAAATGCCATCACCTTATTTTGCTAATGGAAATTTGGTTCACCAACATAAATGTTTTATCAAGAAAACTAACAGAGTCAGGTGGTGGTGGCGCACACCTTTAATCCCAGCACTTGGGAAGCAGAGGCAGGAGGATCTCCATGAGTTCAAGGTCAGCCTGGTCTACAAAGCTACACAGAGAAACTCTGTCTCTAAAAAAAGAAAGGAAGGAAGGAATCTAGGCAGGTGCTCTATGAATGGGAAGAAAGAAAGAAAGAAAGAAAGAAAGAAAGAAAGAAAGAAAGAAAGAAAGAAAGAGGAAAAGGAAAGAAAAGGAGAGAAAAGAAAACTAACAGTACTGACTTCTGATTTCATGACTGGGAAAACTGATATTTGGCTGCTCAACAAGCCCTCTATGGAGATTTGAAGAAGAGGTTAGCAAGGGTGCCATTCCAGACAGCTTGGCTTTTCAAATAAAGAGAATAAAAATAAGAAATAGAGGAGAAAATAACCTGGTCTCTCCCCACCCCACACCTCCTGTATGGTGTTTCAATTACTTATTCAGCTGTCACAGATGGGTAGGAGAGATGTCACTTGGATGTACCACACGCATTATATGTTTTGAGTTTAATGTTTTCTTTTCTTTCTAGAAATGACAATTATTTCAAAACAGATGTCTTAGTTAGGTTTCTATTGCTGTGAAGAGACACCATGACCATGCCAACTCTCATAAAAGGAAACATTTAATTGAGGTGGTGGCTTACAATTCAGAGCTTCAGTCCGTTATCATCATGGCGGGAGCCATGTCAGTGTGCATGTAGACATGGTGCTGGTTGCAACTTGATCAGAAGGCAACGGGAAAGTGGACTGTGAGACTGAGCAGTATCTTGAGCATAGGAGACCTCAAAGCCTGCCCCCACAGTGCCACGCTTCCTCCAACAAGGCCTTATCTACTCCAACAAAGCCACACCTCCTAATAGTGCCACTCCTTTTGAGCTTATGGGGGCCAATTATATTCAAACTACCATAATAGATAAGTAGTAAAATTTTAATATACACATCAAAACAAATATAAAAGGAGCAATTGTTTGAAATGTTTTAGGGATAATTAAGAGCTACCATCTACAGCCTTGTTTTCCCTTTTAGAACAACTGTAAGTATTGCAAGCAGCCACCACACACCCAAAACCAACAACTCTCATTCTATGGACTCTGTGGATTCTGTAATGCTCAGATTTTAAAATTAAATTAAATTAGATAAAAATTTTAAAAATTAAAATGATAAAATTAATTAACTAAAAAAATGGCATATGTTGTAAACTATAGAGTTCATATACCATCCTGGATGAAGACATGCATGACTTAGGATGCAACAAAGTATATGAAGCAAAAGTCTGTTTACTTTGAACCAGAAATACAGTAATTGCAAGATGACATTTTAAGTATTTCATGTTTAAACTCTTCTTAACACTGAAATGTACTCTTGTGTTTAGAGCTATATTTGTTTATATTTATTTGAAGGAGTGGGAGAGACAAAGCAAGAACACAGATTATGTGGGGGAGTCAGAGGACAACATTGCAGGAGTAGTTTTCCTTCTTGCTTCTGAGATCATTTCTCTTGTTTCTATTGCTGCACCCACTATGGGAGCTTCCAGCAGGTCCTTCTGTCTCCACCCCTCACACCACTGCAGGGGAACTTGGATTGGGGTTGCACATGTGAGCACATCTGAGTTTTTTTTCCCCATGGGATCCAGGGACTGTGTTGAGGTTGTCAATACTGCACTTCTACTCACTAGCTGTCTTGTTGGCCCAGAAATATATTCTTAAAGTATGCGATAATTCTTAATATTCTTGGAATAGCTTGTGGCGGTGTTGAGAGACGTCAAATACCTTTTGATGCTGAAGAAATCTGACATACCAGAATCAGCTTTAGGCATTTTCCAGAAAAGGAACACTATTTTAAAGGTTTGTAGCTTTTGATACTTGGTAATTTGGGGATGAAAATACTTTGAATTTTATTTCTTGGTTTGGAAACCTGTAGCATTTGGTGCCTCTCGGATGCAGAAAAGTGCTAACAAATCTGGCTCTTTTTTGTTTTGTGTTTTCTTGCTTGGTTGATTCATCTTGGTCAGCACATTGGGAATCTTGAGCTCCTAGTCCAAGGCTACAATAAACTGAAACAGAACCTTCTAGAAGTCGAATACCCTCTCATTGAGGGTGAGCTCAGAGCTATTGATGAGCAGCTCAAGGTGGCTGCAACATTGCTGACATGGCAGGATGACTTCTGGGTGTACATGGAGAGGGTGCAAGTGGCCACGGCTGAGCTGGAGCACAGAGTGGCACAGACTCAGAGCAACATGGGAACAATCCAGCAAACCATGCAGGCCTGGGCAGAGTGGCCACTGCTGCCCCGGAGGGAGCCCAGAAGAGAGGCTGCCTTCACCTTGGAAGACAAGGGGGACCTGTTTGCTAAGAAGTACAAGCTCATCCAAGAAGACGGCTACAAGATACACAACTTGGTAGAGGTAATTGTTCCAACATTTCAACACATATAAAGCTTTTTATTTAGTAAAGAGCAAAACAAGAAATGCTAAACCTAATGTTGTAAATCAAAACAGAAGGAGTTAATAGGTGGTCCTGCTGTAATTTAAGGTGGGAGAATCTGTGTTATTTGCCCATGATTTGTGTAGCCCTCACTCCTTTGGGACAGATATGAATATGAGATACAATGACCAAACTAAAGGTGGAAGTTGATCACTCTTTGACCCAGTAGATGCCTTTGGCTGCTATTAAATCCTACCATTTGGTTGGCTAGTGTCAGCCACCTTGTTTTCATGATCTCCTAAGGATGACAGCAATAATTACTCTGCTTCTTAAAAACGTATTTGGGTTTCATGGAACTGGAGAGATGGCTCAGTGGTTAAGATCACTTCCTGCTCTTGGGGGTGGATAGTAGTGAGCTCCCAGAGGCTTGCTAGTGTGGCACAGCACAAGTTTAGCTGTACTTGGATACTCTATGTCAAGGCTACAGAGGGGCTTATTTCTGATATTGCCTGATGTTCATGTGTTGATTGGAATGAACCCATAGAGAGGAAAGACTTGTTGGAGGAATTCATTTTGGGGTGGGGACTGATGAATACATGTCCATGCTGGCTCCAGACAGAAGAATAGAGCCTTCCATAGTGAGATGAAGAACACTGACAAAGGATTGACATGTGGTACCTGTAACTAGCCAAACATGGGGAAGTTAACTTTTCGTGTTCTTAGTTCTTAAGACGAAAGACTGGGAATGGACTGGAAATGGCTCAGTGTGAAAAGATGCTTATTGCCAAACCTGAGAACCTATGTTCAGTTCTTGGGATCCACACAGTGGAAGGAGAGAATTAACTCCATAGGCTTGGAAAATTCACCAGCCACACACACCCACCCCAA